TTATTAAGATAATTGATTCAAAATCGAAATTGAAACAAATTTTATTTAAAACATTTTTTGATAAAAACAATAATTATTGAGATAATTAATTTTGATAGCATACTATTCAGAGGGAAATTAAAATTTCAAGTTAGCAAAAAATTGTATTAACAAACACTGTTCCTGAAGTAATTTTAAACAAATATTGTTAATAACAATTTTTGATTTGATCAATAATTACGAACATAGCCTCAAAAAATTTTTTTATATATATTTTTATATATTTTTTATTGAGAAAATCGTTTTAGAATTTGATTTAGAACAACTTTTGTATAAAATTTTCTGCTGAGAACGAGTGGAGGGGGAAATCGTATCGTTTTGTTACAAAAGTTCCGTGCCCTAATAATTACATAAACTACTACATTTCCTTTTCTGTATTATTTCAAGAAATAAAACCATTAAATGTTAAAACACTTTTCTATAACAAAAAACCTATTAGTACATTATTTGGATTTACATTATAATTGCAATAGGAAAAATTGATTCGGATCACAAACTTTTCGGTTCACGAACAGGGTCCATAAATTCATAAAAGCCATAACTTGCTTCCTGTTTAAATTTGTATACTATTTCTTTAAAAATCGATTGCTTTACTATGGTTCTAAAAATTGTTAAATATAGCTACAGAGAAGAGAATCCCAGTATTGCAGGCTCATCCACCAAATTTTAAATTAATCAATGTATCTTTGTTTACAACTCATTTATAACATTTTCTATAAATTGTATGTGTATAATCAAAAAAGAGATTAGTGGCAGCTCTTTCATCAAAATTAATAAACTAAACCTTAAATAAAAAAATGATTTACTTAAAAAAGTTGTAAATAAATTGTAAAAAAAGTAAATGAAATAATCGAAACTTCTTAACCTCCTCAAATCATGTGTTTTCATACGTGACCCAAAACACAAATAGCAAAACCCTCTCGTAGTAAGGGCTGTAGTAAAGCGTAGGCGTCGTTGACGTTGTGTGGGCGTGCGCCCCCTCGTACTACGATCAGGTGAGCGCCACCAAACCGAAACCAACAACCACCCTCTGTTCCCTCGTCTGTGTTTCCTTTCTGTTCCTTTCCCTTCTCTCCCTTTTTCGAATCGCGTTCCTTCTCATCGTATAGTCTCGCGGTCGTCGTCGTCGTCTGCTTCTGGAATTTTCCTCCCTCGACCCTTACCCCCCTTTTGTCAGCCCGTCGGTTCCCGATCGATTTTCCTCTACCCTACCACGCCCCCTTCGCCTGCCACCAGGGTCGTTACCTCATCGCAGCTCGGATGATTATATAATTTTTCATGCTGCGCGGTTCTCAAATTTCAACTCACCCTTAATTTACAAATAGGATAGTTACGCTTACCCCAAAGAATTTTATGTTGTAGTTGTAGCTCATTTGCGGTTAAAACATCATCTGATCGGTCAACCGGGGATTATTTCCAGTATACAGCTTTTGAAGGGACATTCAACAGGTTTATTAACTTGATGGGGGTGGTTTGTTTATTCCAAAGTATTTTTTTAATAAATCTTTTATTATGACATTTAAATTCATCAAAATATGAAGTATAAAAATGTATAAAATATAAAGTTGAACTAACTTTAACTAAAATGAAGCTTTAATTATTCAAAGGAGAGGAGCTCACAATAAGTATTACTTTAAAATTGATTAAGAATTTAATTTAATTTTATTTTCGTTTTTATCACTAAATTATATATAACTTTATCAATTTTAATAATTTTAGAGTGATTTTCAATTTAAATTAACCAAGAAGAGAAAAGCTAACCAAAACAAAAAAAAAACTAATCTCTCTTTAAATTAATCAAACATCATTTCGTTTGTTTGTTGATCCCTCCACGGCCACTCTCTTACAACCCCCGACCTTGACCCTGCTCAATAAACCCCTACAGGGCATCGACTAGGAGGTACAACATCAAGGATAAATCAACACCTTTTAAATTTCACCTTTATTTCGTACATTAAAAAAAAATTAAAACAAAGTGTAAAGATTAAATTAATTAAGTTTTTCTTACCTTTGCCTAAACCACAATTCTTCGTGCCACTTATAAGTAGAACCAAAGAAGTAGTAGCTACAACAACCAAAACCAAAACTGCCCCCAATAATACCTTTTCCCTGTACGGTTTCGTTTTCACCGGAAAAACTCTCGTCTTCGTCGTACCGCCGGAAGTTACCTGGACGATTGTTGTACGACGTGATCCGCTGTTGTTGGTGAGAAGGTGACGGTCGACGACGGTTTCCGGTGGTTCGGTGACGCCGACGTCCGAACTTTTCAGGTATCCGTTGTTCATATCGGGACATGTCCATTTCTGGTCGGTCATCTTCGAAATCCTTTTCTTTATTACTTGTTTGGGGTAGAAACGTTTTTCCGACGCCGGTTTACGACTTTGAAACGAAAAAAGGGGTTATGTGGAAAGGGCGGTCTCGACGGGACGCCGCGTCCTCTCCTACTGACGGCGCGTCGCGACGGAACCTATTGTAGAAGTCGTGATCAGGTGCTCTGAACCGGGAACCACCTGTAGCTAAGGGAGCTTTTCCGATGACCGAATATCCACGAAGTTACACGATTTGTAGTTAAATAGAAGAAAATGAAAAAAAATAGTGTTGCAATAATTAACTCAAATTTATCTAAATTTTTTTAAGTTAGAAATAATTTATTAAAATTAATTGATTTGGCTTTGGCTGGATATTAAAAACCTATTACTTAGTACTCCATCATTCATAGGAATTAGTATCTCTTTTAGGTGTTGGACACTGCAGATAATAATCAAGTTCAACCCCAATAGGACCTTTTTCATTGAATACAACTTTATTTATCATTAACAACCTCATTGTAACAATCCCACTACGATATATAAAATCTCTTGTTGCAGTTTTGTCTAATTTTCTTCTCTTCGCTTGTAATTTCATCATCACATTCATTTAACAGTACTGTCGCTGTTATCACTTTCGATTATTAATTAAAGTATCCTCTTCTTAATGCAAAAAGCCGTTTTGAAAAATCACTTTCAGTTCTGGAGAAATAAAATTTTGAAATACAGTGAAATTCCCCTAACTCGAACTTCTATATCTCGAATTATCCTCTAAGGCCCACTTTTACCATCCTCCTGATAAACTATCTAGAGGATAGTTGCCATGGTTACGGCGGGTTTAAGCGCTCTCATTGGCTAAGAGCTGGATTTATCTATCGGATAAATTTATCAAGAGGTGGTAAAAGTGAGCCTTAGGGCCGGTTTATCAATGTCGAGTTAAATCTGTTAGATACGCAACTCATGGATAAACTTGCCTAACAGATAACCTTAGTGAATCGTTTATCCAGCAACTTTCTACTCGACAGATAGCGACCTACAAGATAGAACATAGATGGTACCCCTGAGTGTTAATATTAGAAACGGAAATGAAACGTAATTGGTGAAATTTGAATAATAGACTTTAGTTTGTGAAGTTGATATAAACAGCTGATGTTTTGGAGGTTATCATTCCCGTGTGCTTTCGGTATTGTGCTTTGTTTTCGAAAACCTCTTTTATAATGGAATTCCTACACGAATATTTATTAGACAGCGATAAAGATGAGGATATTGTCCAACTCTTAAATAATAAACGACGACCATATATTATAAAAGAAAGACAAAAGTCAAAACCACTTTGAGGAGTTGGACGACACCGTTTTTTGTTAGATTTCGGTTAAAAAAGGACACAGTTTTGTCAATCTTGGTTAAAATTAAGACGAGATTATACTATATTAGATTATAGATTATATTACTATTATTTTTTTGAATTACTAGATTATTATTTATTTTCTATAACATTTTTATATTCGTTTGCCAAATCCATCAGCAAGTTCTTTTCTGCTGTACTAAAATTTGATGATCATTTCTTTCTCTTGCTTATCCATCACCACAATTATAAGCTTAATTTATTTTGACGTTATATTTTGATTTCATTGTCATTTCCTTTCACAAAGCAACCAAACTTGTGCTCACATTTTTTTGAAAATATCTAATAGGTAAACCCTTAACCAGTACTTCAATCTGGTGGGTATCCAAATGTCATATTTATCTATAAGATTACCCTAAACTACGGGTGAATAAACGATTCGTCGACGTTATCTATCAGCTACAATTTTAATTGACAGATAAATCGTCTTAACTAGATATTGATAAACCGGCCCTAAGTCGAATAATTTTCGTAAGCTCAAGCGTTTGACTAGGTTTCAAATGTGTTTTTATCTCTCTAAGGTTCATTACTACCATCTTTTAGTTAAATTTATCTTATAGACAAACTCATCTACTAGCCAATCAGAGCGCGTAAAATAGCCGTAACCGTGGTAATAATCCCTTAGATAGCTTAACCAGAAGATGGTAGTAACGAGCCTAAGTCGAATTTCCCTAACTCGAATTTCTCTGTAACTCGAACTGAACCACTATGGAATTTCTTCAACTTTTACTATTATAAGTCGAATTTAAAGAATAAAATATTCGAATCCGCTGTGTAAGTAATTTTAACTACAGAATCAAACCACATAGACTCTGGCTCAGAAACTACAGACTCTTGAACCAAAACAAATCTAATGTTCTTATCGTAAGATGAGGCTACTTGGCCACCCCGGGACTACATGGACAAAACGCATACGTGTTCAGTCCTGTGTCATAAAAGCGAGGTTAGGTAATGTTTTAGTTTCTGGTGGTTTTTTTTCTTGTTATCAAAGGAAGTCACTGATTAAAAATTGAACGAATTACAAAGTGGAAGACTTGGAAAAGGCTATAGATGCAGTTCGGAAGGGGATGTCAAGGAAAAAGGCCGCAGAAACGTTTAAAGTGCCTCGAACAACATTAGTACAGAAGATGCTTGGAAGGAATTCAAGACCCGTTGGACATTCGACTGTTTTAAGCAAGTCTGAGGAGCTGTTGATTTCTCAAACTTTAGCTGTTGTTGCTAATTGGGGATTCCCCTTAACAAAGGCCGACATTGGAGATGTGGTGAAAAAATACCTAGATAGACAAGGGAAGGAGGTCAAAGTCTTCAAGAACAACAGTCCAGGTCCAGATTTCATCGATTCTTTTATCGCTAGACACAACCTGTCCATCAGAACAGCGTCAAACATCAATAAAAATACATTCCTTAATGCTTCAGTTATATTTTCAGGGGAACTTGACCATCTGACATGCAAAGTAAGAGATTGTCCCTAAAACGAAGTTTAGTGTCCAAGAAGCCCTAACAACGGGGCTATTCGAACATCACTTCTTTATATATTTTTTATTATTTGTATAAGGTATTTTCAATGTTTTATGATAGCTATATAATCCTGAAGGTTAGGTTGGTATGATGAACAAGTTTCTGTTGCCCTAACTTTATTTCTTCACTTTTAATCTTGAAAAATGCACAGAAAACGTGTCCAAGCAAGTTTTGATAAAATTTTCGATGTTGCAATTTTCATCGATAATGAAATATAGCATTCATTTCTTGAAGGATCCTTGTGGAAATATCGCCAATTATTAATTAACGTATCTTCTTTTTAGAGTTGCTTCGTTAGTTAATGTATCTTGGATCCAAATAAGTTGACATATCTTATCAGCTTTCTTATTAATTAATTTCATTTTTATTCAAATATCGCAATAGCTTTGTTCGTTGGGACTGCACAACTTTGCACGACATGGCACTCGTATGACGTCAGTGCAATGTCATGTCAACTTACAATTAGTGCAGGTCAGAAAAGTGTATAAACCGTGGTCGCAACGAACAGATTTTTATAAAAAAAAGTGTATAATATTTGAAATGGACGAACAGGAGATTGTCAGCGAAATACTCGTGGAAAATGAAATCATCGCAGAATGTTTTTATCGATTATTATTATATTATTATTATTTTTTATTTTTTTCAATTATTAGCGAAATATATTTTCTATGCCAAACTACTAACCCTTATTAGTTCTTTCAAAAGTACTACTTAACGTATAAAGAAATCACATGCTAAATTGCACAAAAATCGATAAGCAGTGCTTGCAAATAAAAAATTTGGGGTGGTGAGGGTAGTTAACCCCAGCCACCCCTAAATGAGAAAAAACACATAATTAATATTTTTAAATGTACTATAAGTGTATTTAATGAAGCCAAAATCGACAAGGTAGTTTTTAAATTATTCCAAAAAAGTAGGGGTAGTTTTCTACTGCCTCTACTGGGATTGAATATACTGTGTTCTCTAATACAACAAATATTAATTATTATAAGGTTTTATTTCTTAATATTTAATATTAATATTAATTATTACAAAACACGCTTTCAAATATTCCGTCATTTTAGTTATACTGAATTACACTACACTTATTGAACTTAATCGAAAGCAGGTGCAACAAAATCTGCACTAACTTGCACCCGCTGCACGAAATTGCATTGTGCATGGCCCAACGAACAGTATGAGTGCAACTGCACAAAATTACACTATCCCCAACGAACACACAACATCTGCACTAAACTGTTTAGTGCAAGTAGTGCAGTCCCAACGAACAAAGCTAATGTCTTCATGACTTCAGAAATGCACCAGAAATTATAACCATAATAACCGAATAGATATGCCGGATAACCAGATATCCGGCCGAAGGGGATGCCGAATTTTCGGTATAAATATTTCCTTAATATTTCAGCTTGACAATTTTTAACAACATCAATGTAATTCTCATTTCAATAGATACAACTGGTTATATAACCATTTTGAATATTTAATTACAGTACTCAACTAAATTATTTGTCAAAGGTTTAAGTTACATAAATAAAAGTTATCAAAATTATATGTATCTGAAGTTAGTATCGAATGCAGAATCATTAAATCCAGTAAACTAAAGAGGACTAACTCAACATAACTAAAGTATTTATTATTATTTTTTCCCAAATCGATACTTGAATACCACCCTTTTTTGTTCGTATAATGGGGAAATTACATATTTCTTTCTTTCTTGTTAAATAATTGAATCAATGAAATGACACTTTTCATGCTATGGTGGTTTTATAGATCGCCTTATGATTGGGTAGTTGGGCGGTGCCTGCTCTATTAAATTATGTAAAAAATATTTATCTATTTATAGAAATAATGCATAATTTTATGGAGATTTTGGTACGATTTTGACAACTTGTAATCACTTGTAGTCACAGGCTTTTAACAGCAACTAAAAAGATCTCAACAAGACTACTCCGTTCCTCACTCTCTACATATCTGACGTCCCAAACCCACATCAAAGGAGTTCGGATGCGCTGACGACTGGGCGCTTGCTACAAACCAACCTCCAAAACAGAAGTATTGTCAACTACCAACTTAAATTAACACAATAAACACAAACTCAAAGAACGTAGAAAACACTTTAAAAAACGCCATACGAAGACAACTGCAAAATTCAGAAGCCGAATTATGAGCGGCCACATGGAACTCCTTTCCATCCACACTTAGATCAACAGCATTGGGTATTGGTGTTGATGTCCAACTCAACCAAGCTATGCATAGTACGCATAACACAATGTCAGGATGTCATAATGTTAACATCAAGCACTAAGCCATATAGCTCTTCCATAAGCCCGTTGAGAACATACTTTTGTCAGGAAGTATAGAAGATTACCGCCTATCCTGTGCTCCGCTCTTACGTTCGAGTTTCCGGCAGGGATATAAGTAAGAAAGAGGGGGTTCTCTAATAACTGCAAAAATGCTAATCGAAAATAACTGCAACATAATTGAGCAATGAAGAGAAAGCTAGGACAAGACTGCAGCGCCTGCCTAATCGGAGTATGCCATGTGTTAAACTAAGCCAAAGAGTTTTGGCAAACCAAGACGAATCTGGGCAACACTCAATAGAATAAGGACGAACTGCGACAGGTGCTTCGATTCACTCTTCAAGTGGAAAAAAATACTCCCCCAAAATTATGGCTATAGCGCTGAAAGAGAAACTATTAAATTCCTGCTGGAAACACCTCAGTGGTACCCTATTAGATTTCTTAGCTGCAATAATTGAATGTATTTGTAATCTCGATGTTTGTTTGTAGAGCTTGTTGTTATTATTATTATTGTTACTATGATTGTTCTGTAATGTATTATTCATACCATTTATAAACAGTAGCCATACTATTGCAAAGAATCTGTCTGGGGCTATGTAAACATAAATTCATTTAAATCCTGCGCTTTTGTTTTACAGTGTAAGGTGCTACACTTCTATAAGTAGTGCTGGTACACTATTTAATTACTTTTGTGAAATAAGTTTCTTTAATTTTTGACGCACATGAAAACTAACCACATTTTCAGCACGTGACTGTCTGACCTTATGGTGAGCCGATCGCTTTTTGCAATCGAAGATTATGTCCCATGTCCCAAAGTTAGCGGAAGAGCAGCTCCTCTACAAAATACGTATTGAGGTAATTGAAAGGAAGATTCGGGAACCTGCAGAGGTAAATCGGCCCAAAACCCAGCTTCTATGATGAGCTAGTGTGACATCTTAAGATCCTTAAGGTTATTTATGAAAAAAGTAGGTGGAAAAACTCAGGGATGAAAAATCCTATCAACTTAGAGTCGAGTGTATGCTAAAGCTGTATCAATTGGTGTGAGGACCTTAATCAAATCTTAAAAACCACTTACAGTGATGATCACTGACGTGACAAGAAGCAACATTACCGCTACTTACATCTTTAGTGGTTACACTGAGGTTGATCTTCTCAACTTATCAAGAAATTAAACATGTCACCTAGAGGAATCTTCTGAGATATCGCCAATTGGAACCTCTTTCGGTATGAGAATAAGATGCTGGCTTCTCGTCGCTTCCTGGTTTACTATGAAGAGAGACAATGAATACAATGGCGAAGAGAAAATTGAGGAAGCAGCTTTTCAGTACTGTAAGAGTCCTGATATGAATGTCAGATTGATTGTAAATTAAGGGTTAGCGAACCAGGTGGGTACTGACGTGTTTTCAACTGTAAACAGAGAGACTACACAACTCTTAATACAAGTTTTGCATGAGTTGATTTTAGTCCCGCTTCCTCGTAGAGTTTCTTTAGCTCTTCGCTGAAATTGTAGCTTCATACGCAGGTAATGTATTCTCTGTTTGAGATGAAGTAATGATGTTTCAGTCCAACTTGCATACTTGCAATACCAAATTGGAAACTGGTCGATGATACTAAATAAGTTAAGCCCATTCCTTTTTTTGAGGATGTACTCAGAATAAAAGGGAAAAGGGACTTTTCAATTTCATTTTCAGCAGCAATTAAATTTAATTAAGCAAGGCTAAGAGCCAGAATAGTTTAACACAGGTAGTTATTTATATTACTTTAGCCTCCATAATTGGAAGGTTTTGAGATGTTTTTAATTACAGACCGTGAATCATTTTCGAAAAAAATTTACAAGAACCTCAAGTGAAACTTTTGGAATTCTGATGTGGTTAAGTTCAAATCAATGGGCGCAATATTGAATTTAACCGATTTATTAATAACTTCTTTTAAAAAGATCTGCCCACTCCAACTGGAAGCTGTCTTCCGGCGATGTACTAAGCTTAGAAACCCCAAAAGCTGCTTCTGCTGGGTTGGAGCAGTTTTTAACACATTTAAAAGATTAAAGTGCACTAAAGATGATAAAAAAGCTTAGTATTGAAGATTATAAAAAGTATTAATTAGGTAGGGTTTGCTTCACAAAATCTCTTGTGAAGAAGCCATCTTCCGTAGAAAGTTTTCTAGCCTGAATAGGATTTTAATTCAAACCCAGAATCGGTTTATTAAATAAGAATATTGGTTGCTACAATGACAACTTTTTAGTTGTCATTTTAGTTGTTTATTGCTTCTGCCAAATGCTTTCTTCATGTTCTCTCAACATTCCTCACTTTATCTCTCAGTGTTCTTCTGCAGAACCTTCGCCAGTACTCCATATCCATTGAGTTTATTCAACAAGAGTTTTATTCCTCATTGCTATCCCCCTTGTCTGTAATTTGTACTCCCAGGTGTCTATAGGATGTCACGTTTTTAAGAATGTTGACCTCTAGAGGCAAATCTTCTCCTGCTCTACCAGGTATCTAGGTATCTAGTCTTTTCCGGATTAAGGCCGGATAAGGCAGTCCATAGTATAGTCCTCCTAGTTATTCCCATATTAGAATATTGTCTCCTCCATTTTTCTAAATGTAAACTTTTACGAATACATTCACAGTAATCTTTTCATTTATAGATAAAATCTTTGCAGTGTGTTTAACGTGGTAGAATATAACTACTACGTTGTATTTTAATCTATATTTTTGTAGATTTGCGTGTGTCTGTGGGCATTCTTCAAGAGTTAATACAATTACCCAACGAAGTACAATGAAACGAATGAGCGTTCTACCGTGAAAAGCACTTCAAATGGAACATCAAAGCTTCTGTAGCCTGCGAAAGCTTGATAAAGGCCACATATTTCAAGCAAAATGGGGTTAAACCAGACACTAATAACCATATTATTCAACAATCTTTGTTTACGTTTTGAAAGAAAATAAAAATACCATTAAAATAGAATCGTAAGTTATTGAACAAAAGAAATTTAAGAAAAATCATAAGTCATCGATTGACACCACTTTGAAAATCTGAAACTCTGAAATGTGTCAAAATTTTCCGTTAAATATAAAAAATAGATAAAAAAAATACAATTTTTGAAAAATGCATTCGTGGAGTAACGTTTCTGATTCTGTAAAACAATCTTTTGTGTTTCAGCTATTAAAATAACTAATAATTTTATATATTTTTTGTAGTCCTTGACGGGAGTTTTTAAGTGCTTTATTTGTGCCAGCCAAGTACAAGACGCTCACCTCTGCCCACATTGTTCAAAATTATTCTGTTACGATTGCATTTCGAGATGGTTAACCGAACAGTTAAGCGAATGTCCAAATTGTAGGGTTTCTTTGGATGTTGAAGAACTGGTAGCTTGTCGTTGGGTAGCCGAAGTTACTCAACACTTAAATATGCTTCAAGCACATAACAGCGCTTATTGCGATGAAAATCCGAAAGACATGTATATTTATTTGTACGCATTAAGCATTGTTTTAAATTTATTTTTGATTTCTTAGTTGTACAATACACGGTGAGAAATTATCTGTTTTCTGTTGGACGTGTCATTGTTGTATTTGCCACGAATGCGCTCTTTGGGGAGGAACCCACACCGGACATACGTTTAAGCCAATTTCGGAAGTGTACGCTCAAGAAGTATCTAGAATTCGTAAAGAAGCTAATAATCTTCGAAAAAGATTAACTAAACTTGTTACAAATGCTCAACAAGTAGTAAGTTTTTTTTTTATTTGAATACAAAAAAGAATTATTAATTAGATTAATTTATTTTTATTTATTTTTAGGAAAAAGCAGCGGTTACAATTCGTCGTGTGAAAAACCAGCGTCTTCGTGAAATGCAAGATATGATCGGAAAAGCTGTTGTGGCATTAGATAGGCAGTTAAAACCGAAAATGATGACGTTAAAAGGACAACAACAGTGTATAACGAAAGAATCGAGTAATTTGGAAATGTTACTCTCACAGATCGATCACCAATTAAAAACGTGTTCTCAATCTGAATTGTTAACGAAAAGCGCCGAATTAGCGAAAATGATTTACGCAGTTAAACAATGTCAAGGTTATTATTCAGGGTTATTAGCCGTCGAACGTTAACTTTTTTTCAACCGCCTGTATCAAGTTCCCAGCAATGTTATTATTTTTGAATTCGACGATATTTTTTTCAATCAACTCAATCTTATATTAATAACCAAACCGATCGTATGTAGAGTAAATTTATGAAATTGTATAAGCAGGTTAGATTATAAGAGATTGAAACCAAATTGTAGCCAATATCAATTAATTATATCAGAATTAAGATTTCCTTGATTATTTTAATACATTTGCCAATAGATGGCATTATTACAGATGGCTTGGATATTACAAGACTAATTAAAGTTATGGAGAAACGACTACTTCCAACGTGCAAAAAAGAAAATGCAACAAACAATCGGACAAAACACCTTTAACACTCTTCATGTTGACTTTCAGCAAAGAAGAAAGCATCTAAAAAAGTTAAACTATCTTGGATATGAAAGTTCTAATGTAATACACAGTTGGCCTATTTAACGTGAGACAAACGATTATCTCGAAAACGGTTCATTTTACATAAAAATGAAAGTTGTTCTGTGCGAAGGAGGAAACCATATGACGATAACATTTTTTGGTCTTGACCTTGATTGTGTATTTTCAAGGTTATATAAAGGTCACGACCAATCTTTTAAATGGCACCCTTATACAGGGTGATTCATTAGCTCTATGACAAACTTTGGCAGATGAAAGGTGATGCGATTCTAAGGAAAAAATGTTATATGAATATGAGTCCGATTTATTTTGGTTAAAGAGTTACAACCCTTTGAAAATTTTACACAGTTTAATAGGCAAATGAAAATGTAACATAAAAAATAAGTTTAAAAATTACAAAAATTGTTCGAAATGTCCGCCTTCAGCTTGAATGCACGCCTCACATCGACGAAGTAAAGATTTGCAACAATAATTATGAAACACAAATACAGAGTTGGCTGTGATAACAAAACTGAGTTCTTTATGTCAAACATATCAATTTACTCTATTCTGTGCATGCACCAGTCACTCGTATTAATGAAATTGTAAACATACGTTTAATTCTGGATACTGTCACTTATGGCGTTGCTTTCGATTACAGAACCCATTTTGGAAATTTTTTGAGTTGTCAGTTTGACTGGTTTGACCAGGTTTGACATAGTAATATTTTTATTGCGTTGTATTGTGTACAGTGGAAAAGTTGCTAGCGATTTGAAGAAAAAGCGATTTGTTGTTGTTGCTTTATAATAAGTACACTTCGATTGATGCGGAAGCAGCATTGGATAAATGCAATAAAATTAAAAGGAAACGATGTGGTAAAAATAATAATAAAAAAATTATAGAATAAAGTCTTTGTTATTCATTTAAAGACTTTTTAATAAACCCTGTACCAAATAATAATTTAATCCCTAGTCATATATCATTGTAAACGACAAAATTTAATGTGTTTAAAGTTTTGCACAGTTTGTAAAGTTTTGTCTCCAAGCAATGTTTTCGTAAAAAACGATAAACCTTTCAAATAACAAATTTAATTTATATTTCCCGCCTGCCAATGATTTCAGCGCTGTAGGTGACAGTATCCAAAACTAATTGCGCATTTCAATCAAATGTTTATAGTTGCCCATCTATATAACAAATATATTATATCTTATCTATGATTCTGTGTGTTTCCAAAGTTTATAATTGTCAGAGTTTTGATCGAAAACGAAAATGCATGTATTTACGACTGAAGAATATGCAGATATTATTTTTGTATACGGGCTTTGTAACGGAAACGCTCGGCAAGCAGCAAGAGAATACCTTCGTAGGTTTCCAAATAGACATCAACCTGTCCATACAGTGTTTAGTGCATCATTTCGCAGACTGAGAGAAACAGGTAACCCCGCTCCACTACATTCCGTTCGTCCCCATGATGTGAATGTACAAAATGAAGAACGTGTTATTGATTTAGTACTTGACGACCCTTCAATTAGTACTCGGCGTATAGCGAGTATGTTACAAATATCCCAAAGTTTTGTATGGCGTGTATTGAATCGAGAAATGTTACATCCGTTTCATCGCCAAAATGTTCAAGCATTACATCCTGGAGATACTGAGCAACGCTTAGCATTTTGCCACTCTATTATTCAGCAACATGCTCAACATAATAACTTCATTTCCCAAGTTCTGTGGTCTGATGAAGCGTGTTTCACTAGGGACGGCATAAATAATTATCATAACGAACATGTGTGGTCCTTGCAAAATCCACATGCAATTAGACCAGGAAGATTTCAGCAACGGTTTAGTGTAAACGTTTGGGGTGGCATTTTTAACAATTCTTTGCTACCTGTATGGGTGATAAATGAACGCTTAAATGCAAATATGTACAGAAATTTCTTGGGACATAACCTTTTCGATTTTATCGACGACGTACCACTTAACATCGTTCAAAATATGTGGTATCAGCACGATGGTGCACCACCACATCAAGGAAGAGAAGTCATTGCTTGGTTACATGAACATTTTCCAAACAAATGGATTGGCAATGGAGGTCCAGTAGTCTGGCCACCACGATCCCCAGATCTAAATCCGGACACATGAAGCAGCTTGTGTACCATATAGAAATTACTACCCGTCAGCAACTACTGGACAGAATTCAAGATGCAGCTAATAGCATACGGAATGATCCAAATATCATACGTCGTGTGATAGAATCTTTACTTCGTCGATGTGAGGCGTGCATTCAAGCTGAAGGCGGATGTTTCGAACAATTTTTGATATTTTTTAAACTTATTTTTTATGTTACATTTTCATTTGCCTATTAAACTGTGTAAAATTTTCAAAGGCTTGTAACTCTTTAACCAAAATGAATCGGACCCATATTCATATAACATTTTTTCCTTAGAATCGTATCACCTTTCATCTGCCAAAGTTTGTCATAGAGCTAATGAATCACCCTGTATATTTTATTGTAAAATCTGAATCTGTGGATAAAAGTAAACTAATTAAAAAAAAATAAATAAAAAAATTAACCGATCAATTTATCACCAATTAACCGACCAAGGTTAATAGTGCAATAGTGCATTTTATATCTATTGACTTGTCCTTTGTTTGTAAAAGTAGACTCATCCGAGAATAGTACGTTACCAAAGAAATTGACGTCCAACCGCATTCGTTCATGTGCCCATTGACAAAATATTAATCGATTTTCAAAATCACCTCGAACACCACGATGATGTTCCTTTCTCTGATTCTGGGGTGATTCCTGTTCACACTGTCTCTGACCACTGTATGGCTTTTGTTCGTGTTAATGTTAAAACTGGGTCTAGTGATTCTCCTGAGGGATTTACTTATAGGGATTTAATCATGAAGTATTTGTGCGTGATCTTATTTCTTTACCTTGGTATCAGTTAATACGTTTGGAGGATATTATTGACAAACTCTCTTTTTTTAAACAACGCACTGGTAAATCTCTATGATCTCCAGGGGTAACTAACAACGTTAAGTTAATAAACAGTTGAGGAACTTCACTAATGCTTCCCTTCGAAGAAAGCTTACTAGAATTATGTTTTTCGAGATCGCACTTCGAAAGAACTTTGGAACAATTTTAGAACTCTAGGAATTGTTCGCAATAACACCCATTCTGACTCCACTAGTATTGGTGATACAGATCGGATTAATGACTTTTTCTTGTCTACCCAAAGTGATGAAGTTGGCGATCCTTCTCTAATAAACGATTTTCAAATTTCAAAAAAACATGACTTCTACAGAGGAAATATCCCAAATAATATCTACATTTAAAACCAACGCTATTGGTGTGGATGGAATTGGTCTTAGGATCATCTTGCTTTGTTGTCATGTACTACCTTATATTTGCCACATTATCAAATGTTGTCTTGAAGAGTCTATGTTTCCCAATAGTTGGAAATGTGCACTTGTTATCCCAATCACAAAAACTAAGAATCCTGCACAATTGGCCGATCTGCGTCCTATAAGTATCTTGTCTGTCCTCTTCAAGGTTCTTGAGAGGATCATTGCTCTCAGATTACGCAAGCATTTGGAGAGGTTTGATATTTTACCTGTTTTCCAATCTGCATTCAACTGTACCACCGCGCTGCTGGACGTGACGGATGACATTTTTGGAGCTATTGATGATAAAAAGTCCTCATTCTTTTAGATTTTTCTAAGGCTTTTGGCCGTTTAAACCATAAAACCTTGCTAGCTATCTTGCACTATATTGGGCTTTCCAATGCAGCTCTCAAAATTATTGAAAGTTTTCTTGCCGACCGCTCGCAAAAAGTTATTTTTCATAATGTTCAATCTTCTGCAGTAAATATAGTTTCAAGAGTACCAGAAGGCACCACTATTATATTTGATTTATACATGTGAGCTAGCTAATGTGTTGTAAGCCATATATGTATAATAATAATAATAATAATAATATTCCTTTATTACCCAACAGGCATAGCCCAAAAAAGGATAACAATATATATTACATAATGTAATAATACAATAATATGTATCTGTATATGAGAAAAAAAAACAAAAATTAAAAAAATTCAAGAAATAAACAATTTACCGAATTATAAAGAAAAATAAAAATAAAAACTATATAAGTGAATTTACATGTATAAGTGAATATACATGCAGGTGATCACTGATTGTCTGGAATCCGGTTGCCCACTTTACAGAGAGTGTATGTTGGCGCCCGTCTCATAATGTTTGTCCTAGCATAAGGAATGACGAATACGCAGTTATATCTTGAGTTACTCCTTGGAACAACAAACCCTAGTCGCTCAAGAATGAAAGGGCAATCGATGTTATATTCGACAAGCCTTTGTAGAAACCTTTCATAAAACGCGTTTCTTCTGTCCATCAAGGAAATCATATTGTGTCGTGCAAGCAAATCATTTTGTGGTATACCTCGCTCAGGATAAATTCCATCAGATTTGTAAGAAAGAAATTTTAAGAATCTACGATGGACTCGATCAAGGCTTAAGAACTCACATGCATATAAGGGACTCCAAATCAGGCAAGTGTATTCTAACTTACTCAGAACGTAAGCACAATACAAGGTCTTTAATAAGCTGACACTTGTGAAATATTTAGACATACGCATCACAAAACCTAGGGACCTAAAGGCCTCCGAACACACATTATGATATGTTTTTTAAAATTAAGACTTGCATCAAACAGGACCCCCAAATCCCTGTACTTCTCAACACGACTTAAAGTGCTGCCAGCAATATTGTAAGGATATATGCATGGTGACGAGCATCGGTTATAAGTAAGTACACAACATTTATCTATATTAAGGTTAAGTTTGTAGGTCTTACACCATTGCACTATTGTGTTTGAGTTGTGCTGCAGCTTATCTGCATCTGCCATCGATGAGACTTCGGCATAGATCTTGATATCATCAGCATATCCCAACATCCGACAATCAATTTATTGTGTGTATGCAGATGACACACAATTACGCTGTTCTTTTGAACTAACTGACTTATTAAATGGGGGAAAAAATATAAATACCGACGTAGGAAACTTAATTCAACTTGCAAAAGAGCTTAAACTTACTGTTAATGGCTCTAAGTCATCCGTGATGGTTTTCGGTGCTGCGGGTGCAGTCCGGATTGACGGACACACGCTGACTTTTGGAGACAGTGCGAAGAATCTGGGTATGATCATTGAGGAGGATTTGAGATTTAGAAAGCATGCTGGCTCCTTACTTCAAAGAGCATATTCCACTTTAAAACTGTTATACTCTAATACGCACATTTTAAGCACTAAACTAAAAGTTATATTATGTGACACTTTAGTGCTCTCTATATTTAATTACGGAGCTCCTATATATTATTATTATTTACGGAATAAAAAGATGGGAACATATGTCTCACTTGGTTGGGTGGGCTCGTTAAACATGGCTCGTAGAAGAGTTCTTCTTGTTTGGGAGTCCGCCTTACAATACGCTACAGAACTGACGTTCACAATGTCATTGTTAGGCATGCTTTAACAATACCAAGGCACAATTATGAAATTTATAAAAGATCGTTCTCTTATTGTGTGCCTAACATGTACAACCCACTGCCGGATTCTTTAAAACGTTTATCTTGTAAAAGATTCAAGGTAGAACTAAAAAAACTTTTGCTTAACCAACAAAATGGCTTTGAGTAGACGGAATAGCGCCGGTTCCTTTTTCTTCTTTTTTCTTATTCTCTCTTCTCTTCTATTCTCTGTGTCTTTCTTCGCTGCCCTTTCAATTTTTTCTTTTTCTATTTGTTTTTTTTTGTTTTCTCTTTTTTTCTTTGATTCTGCAACGTACATTGTATTGTGTCATTTAATTTAATTTCTAGTAGTAGTCATTTAATTTGAGGATTGATAAAAAACAGTGGGCTTGCACCATTGACTGGTGCTAGCCAAATTGACTCAATTCTCTTTGGTTCATTGTTTCGAATTTAATTTGTTTATTTCCAATGTTTTTACTGTTATTACTTATGTGAACCAATAAATATTGTTTATCCACAATCACCTTATAATTGAAGTTTTATCCACACTTATGAACCGTATAAAGTACCACTTAGTCCACTAGTGGAATAAAATAACTTTATTCCCAATATTTTTTTAGTTAATTAAAATGATTTTTTTAATATTCGCTTTAAATCCGGAAATATAGCTTATTGTTTTGGATATGATAAAGGGGTTGTAAGGATCAGGGTGAAATTTATTTACAAGCGCTGACCTAGTTCTAATTGTATTTGTTTAGTTATAATTAGTAGCTAATAATCATCAACTAATTATTTGCATTAAATGTAAAAACAAAGATTAATTAATTGAAAAAACATCTTTTATATAAACAACTTTAATCAAGTCTAATTCAAATCATTAAAACCACCTACTTAATTAATTGTGATTCATAAAATGACCAGAAAAAAAGACATTAATTTGTTTTTAAAACAGCCAGTCATTTATCTGTAGCATCTTCTCGAAGTGAATAAGTGTATTTCTAGTTCAGTAGACATTGCATTTACGTTTCGTCATCTTTATTATCTTTACAAGCGTTATATAAATAGTTGCGACACACTTAATATTGAGCAGTCGAAGGCACACTTTATTTTTTAGTCATCGTGATTCGGTTTTAAATCGTTCACTATGGCTTGTTTAAGTTGCATCGGTATATTTGTTGTAATATCAGCAGTGGCTCTTAAAATTTATATTAAATTAAACACACGATGGAATGGGAGTTATACATGTTTAAAAGGAAAAACAGCTATTGTTACAGGGTCAAATACGGGTAAGTAAAACAATGTTTTTAATCCAATACAAAATTAATTTCAAATTACATAATAGGGCTTGGCTATGAAAACGCGTTGGATTTTGCTATGAGAGGGGCCCGAGTAATTTTAGCTTGTAGGAGTAAAAGTAGAGCGGATGAAGCACGAGATAAAATTGTCGCTAAAACAGGAAATCAAAATGTAGTGGTTAAATTATTAGATTTACAGTCGTTTAAATCAATAAGAGATTTTTGTGAGGATATTAATAAAAACGAGGAAAGTTTAGATATTTTAGTAAACAACGCTGGAGTTGCGTATTTAGGTGAAGGTAAAACCGAAGATGGATTATTAAAAGTTATGCAAACAAATCATTTTGGACCGTTTTTATTAACACATTTATTAATAGGTTTGTTACTTTAAAAAAAAATTTCTACTATTAATTTTATATCCTTATTTTAGATAAATTAAAAAAATCCACACCAAGTCGAATAGTAAACGTATCATCATTCCTAGCTAAATCGGCAGATTTAAAACTCGACCAAATCAACGAATATCCAAAAACATCAACTGTACAAGCCGAAAATATGTTGTATAATAACACAAAATTATGCAATCTCTTATTTACGATAGAATTAGCCAAAAAACTCGAAGGAACCGGCGTAACTGTTTTAGCGGCACATCCGGGAGCTACAACAACCGAATTGGGTAGAGGATTAAACAAATTCATCCTTATGGCTTTTGATGTGTTGAGAACGTTGTATTTTTGGAAACCCGTCGAAGGAGCGCAATGTCAAATTTATTGTTCCGTTGCTAAAAACTTAGAAATATATCATGGGGAGTTTTTTGGAAATTGTAAAAAGATAGAAATGTACGAGAAAGCTAAAGATGTCGTTTTGGGGAAAGCTTTGTGGAGAAAAAGTGAGGAGATGACTAAATTAGGAGAGAACGAGAAACTTTAATTTAAAATTGTTGTCTATTTTTTTTTTTAATATAATTGTTAAATTATTAAGTTTTTTTTTAAGTTGGTGTGTTTAAAACTCAGTTAAATTTATATTAAATTCATGTTTTTGACTTTTCCTTTATATCTTATGGCAGAAATCTCCAAATTACGCCCCTCGAGCCAAATCCGGCCCATCAATTAATGGCATATTGTTGAACAAAAAACAGATTAACGCGGTTTTATTTACTTGCAAGGTAAAGCTTAATGAAGTGTAATACGCAGAAAATTTAACTTAAGCATAATAACTAACAAAACGAATGAAACCACGGGTTGATTTGGTATTAGTGTATATAAATCAGGGAGAAGCTAGTTTTCTGATTGCAATCTCAAATTATGAGCAGTATCTGACTCATCCACTGCCACAGTGTTTGCTGACAATCTAACAGTTTTAAATAAATTTATCCTTTTGGGGCTCATTTCTTTGATTATTGCGATTACGCATTTTTCTGCTGTGCTTTCAATCGGCGCTTCAAATTTTTATGTCCATAATGACGTTAAATGTTATATTCTTTAAGAACGGCTATGTATAGTTTCATTGCTAATCAAATATAGCGCTTTTTTACTGAACTCAATCACAAAATATTTAATATACTCTAATTGCTACCATCTAGAAGTGAGTGGAATACACCAGAACTTTCTCGAATACGACAGAACTAGTCTAGAAATTATAAAAAACAGCAGGAAAATTAAAACGTTTCGTTAAGGCTGGAAAGTTTTGAGATCTCTGCATTATGGCGTTATTTTTGATACTAGTTTTAATTCAGCGCCATCCTCTTTTGTTCCTCAAAGTTCTTTCTTCTCCTCTGCTGAATCGTACTTTTGATGTTGTCCAGCCACTTCATTCTCTTTGGAAGCCTCTTATCATCCATACGGATCATGTACTCATACCACTGTAACTCTTTGTTCTGTATAGCTTTAGGTTGTATTTCTGACTCTATCTCTCCTGGTCCACTCTATTATTCGCCTTAAGTACTGCATTTCTGTAGCTGTTACTTCGCTTTTGTACTTATACTGCATTGGCCAGGTTTACACCCCATATATACTGATTTGTTCATTTGTTTCTTTACTCAACTCCTTTTTAGCATTTAATTAATTCTCAATGAATTGTTGCATTGGTTATTCTTTCTTAATTGTCGAATCTATTGTCCCATCATTGCTCATCACTACCCCCAGATATTCGTAATGATAGTAAATCACTTTAATCAAGAGATTAGATTAACCAGATTAGTTACCTTTAATCTATTCTGCCTACATCTGATGTTTATGTCTTCATCTTCATTACAGGTTTCTTTGCTAATCTTCATTATTTCACTTTTCTTTGTGTTTATTTCCATTCCTGCATTTTGTACAATGATATTCAATGATATATCTATAATATGTGAATCCCTGGATGGGGGTGGTCAAGTGGATGTAGTGTACACTGACTTTTCCAAGGGGTTTGATGCGATCCATCACGATCTTCTCCTCCAGAAGCTCATGTTTGGCTTTTCCCCCGGGCTCATATCTTGTTTGGCCTATATAGTTATCCCAACTGTACGTATTTCCCTCCTTGTGCAGTGCTATGATATTGTGGATATACATGTGTCCACAATATAACAAGATAAATTAATATTTTAATAAATAATAATATGAACTACATTCTAAGGACTGATAGAATCGATTGATTATTTGAATGATAATAATTTTATATAGTAACGTTCTTTTGTTTTGTACATGTCGTGTGCACAGCATGCTACAGCCACTTCCCCTCCTATAAAGATTAATAAAAAGAGGAATATGGTGGTTAAAGAAAAAAGAAATCATATTTAAAAATTGAAAGTAACTTTTTTTTGAATTTTTATATTATGAGAATTGATTGCCTCGCTGTGGTGACATGTTGAATTTTCTTTTAAAAGAAATGCTGGTTTAAGGTTGTTGATGTTAACAGCTACTTCCTTGTTATTTTTGAAAATTACAAAATATTTCGGAAATGTTTTTATCACTTTAAATGGGCCTTCATATCTTGGTGTTAAAGAGGGTTGAATCCCATTAATTTTGACAAAAACAAATTTTGAAATGAATAAATCTTTATGAATAAATGGTTTTTGGTTGGAATGAAAAACTGTGTTTACTGGTTTCAAACAAGAGAATGTTTCTCGTAAACTAGATAGCAATGGATCAGATTCCAAAGGGTGTTGAATATTAACAAAAAATTCTCCTGGAAGCCTAAGTGGTTGACCGTATACAAGTTCGGCAGATGAACAACCTAGGTCTTCCTTAAGAGATGATCTGAGGCCTAGGAGAACCAAGGGAAGATCATTGTTCCACCTCGTAGTGTTACCTCTGGCAGTTATGGCTGTTTTTAAAGAACGGTGAAACCTTTCTAAAATTCCGTTGCTTTGGGGATGGAAGGTGGATGTATGAATTTGACGTGTTCCTAGAAGGGTGTGAAATTTTGAAAAGAGTTTTGATTCGAATTGTCGTCCCTGATCATGGGTTATAGTGCTAGGAATGCCAAATCGGCTGAAATAATGCCGAAACAAAGTATCCGCAATAGAAGAAGAACCAATATCTTTGAGAGGAAAAGCTTCTGGCCAACGCGTGAAACGATCTATTACGGTGAGCACATATGTGCAGCCAAGGGACGGAGTGAGAGGACCGACCAAATCAATGTGGATATGATCGAATCTTAATTTTGGTATCGGAATTTTACTAATAGGTGATTTTGTGTACTTTTGAACTTTTGTTTGTTGACATCGCAAACAGGTTTTTGTCCATAACTGAATGTGTTTTGTCATGTGAGGCCAAAAGAATCGTGTTTTGATGATGTGTGTAGTAGCGCGAATACCAGGATGTGTTAAGTTGTGAAATTTGTTGAAAATTGTTTTACGAAATTTTTGTGGTATGTATGTTCGAGGATTGTTTGTTGAAATGTCGCACCAAAGCTTTACATCTGAATGTGATGTTGTTTGTTGCGATAGGTTATATTTAGTAGTTTGTGTCTTTGAGTATTGTTTGTTTAGTAAATGTGTTAATTCTGTATCGTTAAATTGCGCGTTTTTTAAGGTTTGTGTGTCAGGGTACTGTGAATTTAGAGAATCAATATTTGTTCTGGACAACGTGTCCGCTACAATGTTTGATTCTCCTGTAATGTACCTGATATCTGATGTGAATTGTGTTATGTAAGTAAGATATCGTGTCTGACGTGGAGTTTTTTCTGTGTTAGAAAAAATTGTGTTGATTAGAGGTTTGTGGTCAGTGTAAACTACAAATTGATGTCCATGTAAAAAATGTTTAAAGAATTTGATACTAGTGTAAATTGCTAACAATTCTCTATCAAAGGTTCTCCCTGGTTTCTCCCAATTTCTAGGTATAACGTCTCCAGCTTACGCCTGCTAGAATATTCTTTGGATCCATTCCCATTTTTTGCCTATGTATTGCTTTCTTCACTTCTTCCATGGTTATTATTGGCCCTCCCTCCACATCCAGAAATTTTTCCCGTCTTAACCTTATCTTCGTAATATTTATCAGGGGACCAGCATTTTGCTTTCCTCTGTCACCACATCCACATTCTTATCCTTTATGTGTTTAGATGTTTAACCATACTTTCCTCTTAGATGCTTAATTGTCGTCCAGAACTCTTTCTTATTGCTTGTGATCCCTTTATTTCATTGCTGAAGTCATCCCATACTTTATTCAGTGTTTCTCTGACTACTTCTTCCAATTTTTTCGTCTGTAGATACTTCCTGGATGCCCACTTCTTTTCTTTGACTTTCTGCTTCACCTCCTCACTCCACCATTTTGTTCTTTTAAGCCTTGGGTTGATTCTCTTTTTCCCACATACTTCTGCGGCTGCTTTTAGTATTGTAATTTTCTCCATCTTTCTTCTATCGTCCTTTGTGTCCCTTGCTTTTCCTCCTTGCGATATTGCATTAATAATTCATTGGTCCTATGCAGGTTTTCCACTTTTCTTCGTTCTGTTCTTCGTTCTTCAGTCCTTATTCTCTGGTATTCTTATTTGGTGGGTTTTCGGTTGTCTGCTATCAAGGTAATCTTACGTACCTTCTTGTAGTTAAACTAGCTATTTCCGATTAAATTTATATAAAATTGATTTAATGGCTTGATAAAAGGTACCAATATAAATGAATACGCTGTTAATCAATAAAATTTTATCCATAGTAACACCCTTATTTGATCAATTCATGTCAAGTCCCTGACAATTTTCTTTGATAATAATTTTTCTTCAGTAAAAAAATGAAAGAAGTAAAGGTAAAACCAACTCAAACACTTTATACAAATAATGTAGTTGCGGTCCCTCCACCACCACCAAGGTAAGAAATAATTTCTTAAAAAAAACCATCTTTCAAAACTAAACCTGTTATAATCGTCTTTTAGATTTAGTTTAAATGAATGGTACTTGAATAATCGTCAAAGATACCGAGCTTGTGAAGATCAACAAGCTTTAGCAGATAAAATCTTAGCAGAATGTGAAAGGGTGCGAGATGAAGTTAAAGAAAGAACACTTTTAAATAAACGCGAGGTCGATCATAAAATCAACGAAAAAATTCAAGATATAGAATTCAATAAACATGAAATCGATCGTCAAAGAAAAGTGGTTTGTAGTGAAATCGAATGTTTAACATTGTACAAAGAACGTATTATGGATGCTATGGCTTCATTAAAAGACCAGTCGATGAGGATTTGTAAGAAATGTTTAATTTTTAGGGAAGGAAGAATAGGAATTGATTTGGTAATAAAATTTATATCGATGTTATTCTTACTTTGATCTTATTTGTGCTTTTAGTGCCATGATGACGTAGAAAGAGAACTTTTAAAAGAAATTGATGTAATCGAAGGGGCCAACAAATTACTTGTTAGAGTTTTAGAACAAGCCAATGAACAAGTAAGAAGATTAAGATCCACTATTTATTTTATGGATCGAGATAGTGAAGATAAAGATAACGTTTTGAAAATAGATGGGCATAACCTTAGTTTAAATGAAAACAGTATGAATTTGAGTTTGTATTATGGATATTCACCATTAGATGTGGCGTAAGTTTTAAAATAACCACAAAATAATTTTGAGTTACCTCAATATTTTTTTTTTCAGTACAATAACCGTCGAAGAATGGGAGATAGCAACAACAAAAAATATTGAAAGAGCAGCTAAAGAAATAAACAGCGCTCGACCTTTAAGAGCTTACGTGGATGTTATTTTAAAACAGGTAATTGATGATTTGGTTGGACAATATCATACTGTAAACGACGCATTTCGACGACGTATTGAAGAAACGAAAGAATCTAAATATAAATTGGAAATACAACATTTAGAAGTAAATTAAATACATTAAAAAAGTTTGAAACATCCTCAATTTTTATATTTTTTATTAGGTTGTTCGTCAAGTGAACGAAATGACACGAAACATAACGGATCTTGAGAAAGCCATAGCTGATAAAGAAGGCTTTATGGCTTTAGCTCATACCAGATTGGGAAATCGCGCTCAAAGACCGGGTGCGGAACTTTGCAGGGATTTGGTTGAAACAAATTTGGTGAACGAAGTTCGGGAATTACGCCACAACACTCATACTTTACAACATATGTTGTCTGAAGCTCAAGCTTCTCTTCGGTATTTATTAAAGATACAAATTCAACTTGAAGAGGATATTAACATTAAAACGAACACTTTGAAAATTGATGAAGTTGATTGTATGACACTTCGTCAAAGCATGGATTATCACGCTTATTAATTAAAAATGAATGTAATAGCACATAGCTTAAAAATAGACATAAATCATTGTGTGTTTTGCACTTTTATATGGCGTGTCGTCTTTTGGATTTCTTTAAATAAAATTAACATCAATAATATTTATTTGCGTATTTAAATATTCAATCAAACCCCAAAATTAACCAATTACATATTATTGAAACGAAATCGCATCATTTTCTGTCTTGAAGCCCCAAGTATCATGAACATTAAGACCAGGAGATAATGATGAGTTTTTGATGATTCATGACAACATTCCAAAGTTGCGTAATTAACCATCCACCCTGAGCAATACATCTGTATCAAAGAACGGAGCAAGTTGTTGTATGGTTCTTGAGAGACTTGATTCTTAGTAAGTGATTGGATGAGAACTGAGAAATGGTGAACTTGCACATGTTTTATTAAAACATAAAGTGTTGTTTGAAGTTCAAAGCTTGAGAAAATTAAGTTAGTAAATAGTTTCTTTCTTTGGGTTCGTTGAATCTCGATTTATACAATTAAATATGATTGTATGACATTTCGTCAAGGTATGGACTATCAGCTAATTAATTAAAAAAAATCAACCCTAACTGACTGCCGCCTATCTTGAAGATAATTCGGAAACAACTCAACAGCCGGACCACTAATTCCAATGTAATGTATGATTGACAGCTATAGATCATGATTTAAAATGTCAAAAGCCTTAGTGAAGTCCAAAAGAACCAACATTGTCGACCTTCCCTCATCAAGAGACCTAAAGACGTCATCAGTAAGGTCAAACAGCGCAGCAGCACAGCTATAGTGTTTTCTGAAACCCGATTGTCTGTCAGGTACTTTGATTATATATAATATGGATTGAGCTAACTGAATATATCTACTAACAAAAATGTGGCTCAAGGAATAGACGCAGATGGAAAGCGATAATGTGAAAGTGTAACAAAGATAGACATAAAACGGTACTAAACAGACGGGCGCATGCGCACAAAAGTGTCAAACCTCTTCCATTTGACGTTTATCGTTTTGTTGTGTCACAGCCAGTCACACCGTTATGTTTAAAAATGTATTGTTTCGTGTGCAAAGTTTGCGATAATACAGTTTCACACCCCTGTAAGTATTATAAATAATAAGGAAATTTTATTTTATTTTATTTTTTTTTTCTTTTTTCATTTATTAATTTTGTTTTAAATTTACCGCCAAAATTAACGCACGCCCATTATATGTACGCTTCTATGTCTATCTCGGTTCGATCACCTTGCGCAAGCTATCTCTCTCGTTGGCTCAATCCATATTATATATAATCAAAGGTCAGGTAGAATATTATTGTCATTCAAGTGGCCACAAAGCTGTTCTACAATCACTCTCTCAAGTAACTTGGACAACGCAGGAAGTATTGTCACAGGCCGTAAATCCTTCAAAACCTTTACAAATTTTGACTTCGGCACTGGAGTTACAAGACCACACTTCCAGGCAGATGGAAATACAGACTGTGACACAAAACGTCAAGTATGCGAGGACAGCACAACCTTATCATATTATCTAAAGAAATCCCATCAGAACCAATACCACCTGATTTTAAGGATGATACTAAATTCTCAATTTTATTAGCTGAGACAGGCTCAAACGTCAAGTCACCATTTACACTAAGCATCCTATTGTCACCATAATAATTCAACAAATCCTGATTAGGAAGAAATCACAGTTAACCAAAAAGTGATCCGAAAATCCAAGATCATAAGTATCACTCTGAGCCACCAAAAGATTCTCCGACACAAAAACCAGATCAATTAATGATTCGGAGTCACCCGAAACTTTAGAGGGTTGGACAACAAGCTGAGACAAGTTAAACGGTTGAAAAGCCGCCATAAGAGCTGTCCTGACATGCTAGTCAACTAAAATATTAACATTAAAGTCGCCCACAACAACAATGTGGTCAACAGTAGGGTAAACATGGGACAGCGAATCACAAGATGCCTCAAGAAACTGATTTAAATCCACAGAAGGTGGTTTATAAAAAACACCAAGCGCAACTTTAACACCACGAAGAGTTAATCTCACCCATAACTGCTCAATTCCAGACCCATTCTGTACATCTATCATACAACATTCATGACAATCACATCGTCCCCAACGTCACCACTCAACCAGGTTTCCGACATTGCAAAACAATTGGTAGCAGACCCCAGAAGGTAACCCCTTAATTCACCGAAATGTGCCGGTAGCGCTCTTACATTTAAGTGTTCAATATGAAAATCAATCATTCTATTAAGAAAAAATCATAAAATAATATTTAAAAGAAAATATACTTATATACCATAAAAGAACAAAGCCATATGCATGACAGTTATATGGTCAACATAATACAATAAACAAATAAAAAAAATTGAAACAGAAAATACTCCAAATGAGAAAGTTCACTTTAAACTATACCCAAAAAACTCAATTAATTTTATTAATCAATCTAATTCGCAAGGTACATATTTTAATAATTACAATACTTAATGATCAGCAAAGTTATCACAAAATGAAACTACAAAACCAGTACTTAAAAAAGAAGGAAAAACAAAAAAAAAGCAACGAAAAAAATATGTATACCGCTAGTATAAAACAATTTAATTATAAACGATAAGCATTCACCGCCAACGACCATAACTTAGGCAAAATAATAACCAATGTTTCATCAAAAAAGCAATTTAGGATACATTAATGCATATCGACGAAACTCTTGTTTTCTCACCCCCAGAAATATCAGAACCATTACGAATAGCCAAATGCTGAATGGGGAGAAGTACCGAAAGTTTTTAGATGACGTCTCACCAACGTTACTTGTAGATTTGAGCAGGGAAGAAAGACAAAATATGTGGCTGCAAAATGATGGGTGTCCAGCACATTTTTCACATATTGCACGTGAAGCTTTAGAGCGGGATTATGCTGGGCGATGGATTGGAAGGGGAGTTCTAATTTCCTGGCCTACCAGATCACCTGATTTAACACCTTTTGAGTTTTTTTTATGGGGCGTCCTTAAGGATAATGTTTATCGCGAAGAACCGACTACGCCAGAAAACATCAAAGAGCGGATAAGAAATGCATGCAGAAATAGTAGCCAAGCAAACCTTTTAAGATGTAAAGAAAGTTTTAGTAGAAGGGTTAATAAATGTATTGAAGTGTGTGGGGAAATATTTGAGCTTTAATAGTATAGTTTAATCATTTTTTTATAATATTATTGCAAGTATGCAACCAAATACGCAAATCGCGTANGGTAAACATGGGACAGCGAATCACAAGATGCCTCAAGAAACTGATTTAAATCCACAGAGGGTGGTTTATAAAAAACACCAAGCGCAACTTTAACACCACGAAGAGTTAATCTCACCCATTACTGCACAATTCCAATCCCATTCAGTACATCTGTCATACAACATTCATGACCATTTCTAACATAAACTCCAGCACCTCCTCCCTTAGTCGGCCTATCATTTCGAAAGAGGTTGAAGCCATGTATACCGACCACATGGTCCCCAACGGTACCACTCAACCAGGTCTCCAACATTGCAAAATAATCGGTAGCAGACCCCAGCGGGTAACCCCTTAATTCACCGAAATGTGCCGGTAGCGCTCTTACATTTAAGTGTTCAATATGAAAACCAATCATTCTATTAAGAACAAATCATAAAATAATATTTAAAAGAAAATATACTTATATTCCATAAAATAACAAAGCCATGCATGACATTGAAACAGAAAATACTCCAAATGAGAAAGTTCACTTTAAACTATACCCAAAAAACTCAATTAATTTTATTAGACCCACTTTTACCACCTCCTGATAAATTTATCCGATAGATAAATCCAGTTCTTAGCCAATGAGAGCGCTTAAAACCGCCGTAACCATGGCAACTATCCTCTAGATAGTTTATCAGGAGGATGGTAAAAGTGGGCCTTAGGCTCGTTACTACCATCTTCTGGTTAAGCTATCTAAGGGATTATTACCACGGTTACGGCTATTTTACACGCTCTGATTGGCTAGTAGATGGGTTTATCTATAAGATAAAGTTAACTAAAAGATGGTAGTAATGGACCTTAATCAATCTAATTCGCAAGGTACGTATTTTAATCACTACAATACTTAATGATTAGCAAAGTTATCACAAAATGAACTTAAAAACGCACTTAAAAAAGAAAATTAAAAATTAAATGCAATACAACAAAAAGGAAAAAAAAAAGCTAAGTAAAAAATATGTATACCGCTAGTATAAAACAATTTAATTATAAACGATAAGCATATTCACCGCCAATGACCATAACTTAGGCAAAATAATAAAAATTGTTTCATCAAAACAGCAATTTAGGATACATTAATGCTCAACAACGAAGCTATCGTTTTCTCACCCCCAGAAATATCAGAACCATTACGAATAGCCTAATGCTGAATGGGGAGAAGTACCGAAATTTTTTAGATGTCGTCTCACCAACGTTACTTGTAGATTTGAGCAGGGAAGAAAGACAACATATGTGGCTGCAAAATTATGGGTGTCCAGCACATTTTTCACATATTGCACGTGAAGCTTTAGATCGGGATTATGCTGGGCGATGGATTGGAAGGGGAGGTCGAATTTCCTGGCCTGCCATATCACCTGATTTAACACCTTTTGATTTTTTTTTTGTGGGGCGTCCAAGGATAATGTATATCGGGAAGTACCGACTACGCCAGAAAACATGAAAGAGCGGATAAGAAATGTATGCAGAAATAGTAGCCAAGAAAACCTTTTAAGATGTAAAGAAAGTTTTAGTAGAAGGGTTAATAAATGTATTGAAGTGTGTGGGGAAATATTTGAACTTTAATAGTATAGTTTAATCATTTTTTTATAATATTATTGCAAGTATGCAACCAAATACGCAAATCGCGTATTGCAATACCAATATTGTGATATTGGTTGCATACTTGCAATGTTGACGTCGGCTATGAAAATTAACAGTGTATATACAATATGTTTTTTGGAAAAAGAAAGATTTAAATTCATTTTATTATTTTTTTTTTTCTAATCAATTATACACATCGTTAAATAACATTAAATTAACTAAAATGTTCATAGGAATGTTTGAAGTAAAAGTCAAAATTTAAAGGGAAGCGACCGAACCATCCTTTGGAATTTAATCTCTTTTCCATCAAAATAAATCAAACTTTCATTTTACAAGTATTAACACTGGAATTCATCGAGACACAACCCCCAAAATAAACCAATTATTGAAACGAAAACGCAACGCATTAAATCAGCACTTATTTCATATTGTTTTTAATTTGAAGGTCCAGCCTGATCATCTTGTGGAGGTCTTTAAGAAAACAATTTTATTAATCCTTTCAACAATTTTGTTACCAAATTAAACCTTACTGATTCTCTTTTTGTTCTTTTTCCGGTGTATTAAAATCACTATTTCCCAATTGACCAGAACTTTGTTGACTCTGCTTATTTACCCTACTTGGTTTGCGGAGTGTTAGAAGTGAAGGGGTCCAACTAAATGGAGATGTAGCAAATGCAGGATCTGAAATGAATCGTTTTAAATAATTAAGAAAAATGTTTATAATCAAACTAACCACTTGAAGATGTTGGTGCTGATGAGGGTAAAGCGCAAGCACTGGCACTGTCATTTATTTGCAACCCAGGCCGCAGCTTATTGAGGTTATTTATGTTGAGAAGCGGCTTGGGGAAATTGCTGGGATGCGGAGGACTAACCAATTTTCGGTCGAACAATTTCTGGAATTTGGATGTTGACGCCGACATCTTCCTGTTTCGGTGGTCCTGTTCGGGATAACAGTTTTGAATTGAACGTAGAAAAGATTCTAATGGTCCCATCACGGACTCCTATACACAAATTGTCTACTTTAAAATGCAAAATCAAAATATTTCTTTTAAAAAAAACTAATTTATACGATAAAAATAAAAACATTAATACTTAAAATTACATACTTTCGTTGATTGGTTTAATGAAATTGTTTCAGACCAATTTCCTGGGGTGTTAGAACATCCTGCAACTGATGGTGAGTTTCTACTTCGCGTTAAAAGTTTTACATTAGATGCATCTAAAAGTTATTTATCTTATTATTGTTAAAAAAAATGATATAAAGTAACTTACCGGGAGTTGATGGTGATTCCATAAGACCCGCATTTAGATCACAGTCTGGTTGATTTAAGTCTATTAGAGAGAGGTTTGAGGTTGTACTCGGATTAAAATTAACTGTAACAAGAAATTTGTTGTTATTGGTATTAACCCATTCCATATTATTTATTAATATTTACGTAAACTATGACTAGGTTCAAAATTAGTAGGATTTGTATCCATATTATTCCCATTGTTCCTATCTTGACGATCAAACAGATGCAAGAGCATTATTTTTTCTTCAAAAGAACTTCCAGGTCGGGCTGTTAAAGATGTTCCTGATGTGCTAACAGCCGGACTTGATTCGCGCAGTAACATACCCTGAGCCATTGAAAATTCAGCATACTCAACATCATTTTCACCTAATTCAAAACAAACATTTATAGATAATTATTAAATAAAACAAAAATGCACAAAAATAATAAATAAACTAGACCAAAAAAGTGATCCTTTAATAAATATACTATGACAAATCGAAATGTGTTATAAATAAACATGAGAGCATTTTTGATCTAAATAAAAAATAGAAAGAGTTAAAAAATAATATGAACCGCGGAAAGACTTTGGCTTTTTTAATCCTTCATTTTATGAACCGTTAGTTTCGTAAAAAATCGATTTTTTTCTTTAACCAGTTTGAATTGGGTTATCCGGGGATTCCTTCTCGGCCACTTCTTCGCCTTCCTGAGGCTGAGTTACTGATGTTCCGCAACATGGCTCGAGAGACATTGCTTCATTACCTTAAAACATTTTTACCCTAAATTATTTGATTTATCAACACTTTTTATATTTCCCTCAATCAAATCTAAAATTTACTCAATTTATTAAGGGTAAAGAAACAGTGAGTCCTCGAATTTTTAGTTGCGGAACTTAAATTATAAATACAGGGGGTGTCACAAAAATTCGGGAACCTAACATTACGATTTTGTAGTTTTGTATCATTTTACCCGCATGTTCGTCTTATTGTTACTAAAGACTCCTCCAAAAATTTAAAGGCTTACTTTGTGCATTTTCAAGTAATGGTGTCCAACATAGAGGATTTTCAGGCTGAGGTAACTTCAGAAGGAGATCGGAAAAGGGGTCAAGACTAGAGCAACCAGGGTCAAGTCAACTCCCAGAACTACCTTGATGCAATTCTGATGAAGGAAGTGCTTCCTTGGAGCCAGTCTCGCTTCAACAGACGCCACAATGGGGTATTTGTCAATTCTATCTGGACAAAAGTCCATTTTAGAAAGTTGATTCAAAGTTGATTAAATTACTTTCAACCCATTAAAACTACCACTAATAAATACAGTATTATTACCTGCAATGGATTTTCTTATATTTATGATCAACCTGTCTTACAGAAATCATCTTACACAGCAACACCAAACTATCTTACCACCATACTTATTTCATGTTCTGCACAAACATTTTTACATATATTTGAGAGTGTCGTTTGCTCACGTCCTTCTGATTGCAAGAGTTGTCTACACAAATGAATCACACAATGTTGAGAGCATCAAAAAGAATCAGATTGAACTACTACATAAAAATGTTAAGCAGCCTTTCTCTGTTTCGTTGATCTAACTAAAACGTTCGACAAAGTAACGATAAAAGAATTAGAACAGATCAAACATTACAAAGTATGTAATGTAAACTATGGTTACACTATGAATGATTACAAAATCAAGATTGAGTGTTATGCAGATGTTGCCGCCCTCTTGGCTGCTACTGAGGATAGTATACTGTAGTTAACACAGGCATTCCTTTCTTTAGCAAAAGACAAAGTGGTTGTATAACGTGAGAAAAATTTGGTATAAATCGTCTATACCACGATGCAGTACTCATGATACTTCGAACATCTGAAACCTTCTTTGGAGTTGGAATATTCAAGAGAGCGCTAACCTTGTCGGGATCCACATGAAGTCCCTGTTCATCCACAACATATCCTAAATATCTGAGCTCACTCCGACAAAAGTTACTGCTCAAAGTCAAATCAGCTTCTTTTAAGCGACAAAACGCCAAAACCATGTTGCAAGTGGTGAGTGTAAGCCAAAAGGCATTCTACAAAACTGATATAATCCGCGTCCTGGCACAGTAAAAGCTGTATATTGACGGGAATCTTTTGCTACTGGTATCTGCCAGTAAGCAGATTTAATATCCAGACTGCATAAATGTCTCGCATCCCTTAGACGATCAAGTATGGCAAAAACAAATGGTAGAGGATAACCGTTTTTTTTTAGTTACACTATTAACTTTTCTGTAGTCCACGCAAAATCGGTATGAATCATCCTTCTTTCGCACAAGCACAACACGACTGCTCCAGGCACTTTTTGATGGTTCAATAATGCCATTTGCCAACATTTCTTCTAGTTCATTATCGATGTACTTCATTAAGGCAGGTGATAAGGGATAAAATCGTTGTTTTATCGGATTCGTGTTGTCAAAAACTTTAATTTTATGTTCTACCAGATGAGTGTTTCCAATTCCAGACCCGTCTTCACCACCTCATCCAACACTGCAGACTCTTCAAAAGTTAATACTTTTCGTGAGTACAACGCCTCAATGGTTTCTATTTTTTCAACGTCATTAGAATTTGCAGCAAACCTCCATTCCTTCGCTCTCAAATCAGGGACCACCCCCAACTTGATCCAAAAGTCTATTCCAAGAATTAACACATGAGGCAGCAATCCAGGTACAACTAGTATATCAATAATTTTCTCTATTGTACCTTAACAACTGTACGCAATACACCCAAACACTCACATTCCGTACCATTTGCTACAAGAATATATGACACTTTCGCAGGCTCAAGCACAGAAACACCAGCACGAACTAATTTATTCCAACCTTGTTCTTCCAACAACGTACACGTCGCTCCAGAATCAAGCAATCCGAACATTTCAATGCCATAAATTGATATTTTTAAATAAGGCCTTTCATCGCCACGAGTGTATGATAAAACATAGTGAAGAAGAATAGTGAAAATTTGTTGCGGAATTAGATCGAGTATTGGGATGTCGTACTTCAGAAACTCTGAATTTATTCGTACGCAATTCACCACTCTGATTACTAGTTGTAGCACTAGGAGAAGCATAAGCCAATTCTGGTATCAAACTCTTCCTTTTAGAGGCGGAGGTACATAAGTAACAGCATTCAATCTTTGAACATCCAACTTTCGACACATAATAAGTATCTCGATTATCGTAGTAATTTCTTTTAAAGCAAAAAATGGTTGATAGTAAGGGTTAGTACGTTCCATTATAATTTCTAATTGTTTTGCTTCTGGAATAGGATTGCTAAGTTTGCTAATAATCCCTTCATGCTAGCGATATATAAACCAATGTTTTCCTATAGACCCGGTGATCTACGTTTTATTTCCTCAAATAAATCACGATCAAAATGAAGTGGCTGAAACTGCTCTCACATCAAATCTACTAAAGAGTCGCAATCAGTAGCACTATCTTTAACCATATTATACCATGCATTTAGACATTTAACATTGCAGCTCAGGAAGTGAATACTGAGCAAAGATTGCGAAATCAGATACAAACTGCTGCCGAAACAATCCGCCAACACCCTGGTTTAAACCGCGCTAGTGGGACATCGTGGTTTCAGCGAGCCCAATTGTATATGGAAAATATTGGAAACACCTTGATTAGAAAGTAAATTTCATGGATGTCTAGGAAACTAAAAAACTTTTGTTACAATTTTTTTCCACCTATTATTCATTATTTGTCATGAAGAATAAATCCTCAAATGTATGCGTATAGGTTGAGAATCATCCTGTATACAAGTACATAATATACAGGTGTTTCTAAATTTATGCAAAAGATTTCACTTGATTTTTCTTAACAAATAATAACTAATCTGAATTACCTATGTCAAATGAGCCTATGCTTTATTTTATTTTTTTGTGAGCAAACTAACAATTTTGGGAAAAAATATCTGGAGACAAAAAAGGTGCAGATTGAACCCCTTTATTTAAACCAAAATTTAAAATAGAAAAATATAAATGCAGTAAAACGTTCTGATGCAAAGTATTATAGGGGTTGATTTTTTTACCTCCTTGTAATAACATTTTAGGCTTATAAATATCGTCAAAAGGTGTCATTTTATTAACAACAATTATCTGCCAAATCAACCCTTGAAATCTTTCGCATCAATTTAGAAATACCTGTATATTACAATTTAGGATTTTAAATAAAAAAAAAGTTTAACATTTCGAATGTATCTGAAAATAAAAAAACTATTTTAAGGGATAATAAAAATGGAAAAATAATTTTGTCCAGCTAGAATGGGCAAATATCCCATTGTGAGACGCCCCAATACATTCTAACAGGATTCAGCGCCCGCGCACAAGGCTAAGGTGGTTGAGCATTGGTGCAGATCCACTTTTTCAGCCATAATCATCCCCACAAAGTGACCAACCAACTCGCCTGATTTGAACTCCATTGTAACGTTGTTGTTGAACTTTGACTGAACATTGTAATTTGTTAATGTTTGTACAAAATTTGTGCCAAATTTCATATCTTAAAGTACTTCCGTTTTATTTTTAGCAAAAGAAAAACCGTGCTACCGAACTTTTGCGACACCCTGTAAAGCTGACTTTCGTGGAGATCTTTTTTTAGTAACTAATACAATTACAGCATAAAAAGGAGTTGTCCAAATCTGCAAGGACTCACCGTTTATTTATTTTACGATCTCCACGGATTTAATATTAATACCCAAGTTAACAAAAATAAATCTTACCAGACATAGTTTCATCATCGACATCATTTTCATCATTTGAATTTTCTTCAGCCATAATTAAATTCGTTTCTTGGTGATCGTCGTCTAAAAAGTTTTCAGGTTCGCTTAAATCCTGAATTTAAAAAAAATTTAACCAAATCAACCAAATTTTTAAAAACTTTACTTACATCTGTATCACTACTGCTGCTACTTATTGTCATAGCTGTCGTCGCAACATTCAACAAATTCGGCGAACTCAACGAAACTCCCAAACTGATCATTCTTGGAGTTTCTGGAACACTCTCGCAAATCGTCAATGGCGGAACATCCTCTTCCGTCGCTTTCGGAATTTGCGTTTGAATCGACGACACCGAAGACGCACTACTACAACTCATATCAACCGACGATTTCGGCAAATTTGGGCTATCGCCTACCGTCGAAGTCTTTTGACTCGATCGAGGACTAGAAGACGGTGACAATCTCGTTTTGGTTAATAAATACTTCGCTGGTATTCCCATTATTTTCTTTGGAGTGGTCGTGGCGTTATGCGAACTCGATGTTGAACGGAGTTCCATCCCATCATTTGGAAGAGGCGAACTAACCGTTGACATGCTATAAAGGCTTTTTACGCCAGTTATTGCACTTGTTTCGCCTAATTGCGTTGTTGTTGCACCAATTGAAGCCGCCACTGCGTTTCGAGAGATTTCTGCAGCTAATCTCTAAATTAAAAAAGAATATAGATTTATGAGAATACTGGAATCAAATATTACAAATAAAAACTCATCACTACAATCTAAGTAACCTTCTTCTTCCACAATTTAATTAACTCACCTCTTTTGATTCATTTATTTGTGAAATATACTGATTTTGTAAAGCTTGTAATTGATTAATGTACCATTGCTGATCCCTACATCTTTGATAGAAAGTTGGAGCACGAACTTGAAAACTAAAAAGCACCAAATCAAATAATTTCAAACAATAAACACATTTTTTCGGAATTTACCGCAAAACTAAAGTATCCAAAGACACATTTAAATATCCTTCACTAGCTAACAAATCAAGTCTGAAAAATCGGTTGTATCCCCAACATTCGCCAACTTCAAAATCGGAAGCAAACTCCCTGACAATATTTTTGGAACTATCTCTACTCGCTTGATGAATCATTTCCACCCTATATTCATATTTAGAGGTTTCCGGATATCCGGCGCTTAATTCCAGGAAAACCGAAAGATAATTTCCTCTGACAACGCCATTTCCATCCGGATAAACCTTTAATCTCCAACACAATCCGTTACAATGCAAAGGGGTGGAATAAACCGGATCAGCTTTTCGTTGTAATTGAGAAAAAGAGTGCATAACAAATGTGCTGCTATCATAACTAGGGACAATTTCGCTGTGGAAATCCGCTGGAACAGGTGCAGTTACAAAACTGGTCATTGGTTTCTTTCGGATTGCATGAATCATTCTTGATAATTCCCCGCTTTTTGAAATTAATTCAGAACGAGTACACGTATGCAATTGGTGTTCAATTTCGTGTAATAGATGTTCCAATTGTTCAGTTTCTTGTGTAAGAGAATCTTTTTGGCCCATTAACGTTAATAATTTCGTTTTTAACTGCGAATCCAATCGAGCTATCATCAATTCAACTGCGTTACGGATTTCACGAACCCTTTCATCCTTCGCAGACCTTACAGACTCCACGTTCCTTTCCTAATCAATTTCGTGTTTAAAAAAATAAAATCAAATTAAAAATTAATATTTTTGTTTCCAACTTATTAACTTACCACTTCTTGCACTATGCTAATCAATTCCATTAATCTTCTACGTAATTGCGCCACTTCATCTTTAATTTGAGTAACATGTTGTTCGTAAACTTCTTCTAAAGGTTTAAAAGTATGGCCAGAATGAGTACCACCCCATAATGCGCATTGATGACAAATACAGCAGCGACACGTCCAACAATATACTGATAATTTTTCAAAATGTGTCATACATCTTTAAAAAGTAAATAAATAATCTTAAAATTTTATTACTATAGTAAAAACTCGATATAACGGATTAATATGGACAAGGAAAATTCTTTGAATGTTTAAATGAATAATTTTAATGCATACAAATTCGGGCAGCTATCAACACCGTTGATATAATTATATTTATATCAAGGACGGTAGAATCTAAGAGGACTGCTACATCCTGGGAAATGATGTACAGCTCAAAGGCCCATTCGTGACGTCACGCATTTAGCTACTATTTTACACTTGAAGTTACCAAATGCTTAGTTTATTCTATTCGTGTTTTGTAATGTTGTTAGTTTGAGGTTTATAATATAAAATAAAGATATTGGTTAAGTTTAGGGGTGTCTAGAAAATATACAACGCGTTAAAAAACGACTAAAACGTATGGAACCCGAATCACATTTATAGGGGCGTATATCATCCATTGTAATTGGATGCTACAAAAAAAGGAGAGTGTGGACCTCTTGGACACCTAAAGTTTAAGTAATGTTTTTCAGGTACCAAGATGAAGTAAAAGTAGAGTCCAAACATCAACTCACCTACTATGTATCTATAAAATTTGATCTGGTTCTATTTTATAATATACAGTATGTCTACGAAAAAAGTGTTGAATAGGAAAAACTTTTATTTTTAATTTTATCGAAAAAAGTTAATCTTGATAAAAAATTTTGCTAGTTCTTAGAGTAAGATTGGGATAGAAATATTTAACATATTTTATACGCGGTGTTCAGAAAATTGAAAAAACTTTAAATGGTACAAGAGTGCATTTATTTGAGAAGATAAGGAAATAAGTTACTAGGAAAAGTTGTTCAAAAGTAAAAGGTAGTCTCTAATACCAATTTTCAAAAAAATCAGCCTACTTTTATTTATTTTTGATCATTTTTGTACTAGTAGGCGTTGATAGTGACAAGCTTTATTGACACTTCGCTTTTATACTTTATTAGCCGTAGTATTGTCAGCTTAAAATGCTTACTTTACTGCAAAAAATGTTATGGGAAAATCGAAAAATGTTATCGTCGAGTTATTCAGGAATTTAATGAAAAATTCCCCAAAGTGTACGTTTCTGAGACTACTTGCTGTAAAATAATTTTGAAGTTTTTAAGCTCTGGATCATTGTTGCGAATATCTAGTGAAAAGAAGAGATACGATGAAAATGATGCAAGTACTTTGTTGGTATTACATTCAGTAGAGGAACACCCGAAATTATCATTAAGAAGAAGAGCTGAAAATCTTCAATTTGTTAAAAAATCGCAAATTTAGAAGATATTAAAACACAAGAAGATACATCCATACAAGCCAGTCAAGTACAATCATGTTTTGGAAGCCGGCGATGAAGCAAAACGTTTGAATTTTTGTTTGTGGATTGGCAGTATGGAAAGAGGATTTCATAAGAAAATAATGTTTTCTGATGAATCAATTTTTCGACCAATAGTGTTGTGGCTTCGCAACATGCACAATATTGGAATTACTCTAATCCGCATTTCCGTACTGACCACGGAGACGTCAGTATTGTGTTAAAGTAAATGTGTGGTGCGTAAATTACTTATTAAAATAAATAAAAGTAGGCCGATTTTTACGAAAATTGACATTAGAGACTACCTTTTACTTTTGAACAACTTTTCCTTGTAACTTGTTCTGTATCTTCTCAAATAAATGCACTTTACTCTTGTACCAAATAAAGTTTTTTCAATTTTCTGAACACCGCGTATAAAATATGTTAAATATTTTTATCCCAATCTTGCTCTAAGAAGTGGCAAAATTTTTTATCAAGATTAACTTTTATACTACATTATGACATACTATATAATTGTTAAAAAAAAAGGTTAGAATTAGTATCATTAATACTTCAAAATGGAGTTGATACAAATATTGATTACAATAAACTTTATTATTACCAATTACCTTATTATTTCAAGTCTTTTACTATTAATGACGTCAAATTTGTCATCATTGGGTAAAATAACTTGCCAAGGGTGTTATACTACTCCTTTTTTTAAAAAACGTGTATCAAACTTAATAGACATAACTTCTTTCAACCTTAACTCAATCAAACTAATATTTTTTTTCAAAACTAACTATTTTTGTTGTTTAATTTGTGACTTCTATAGTAGCATGGTTCATAAGGAATACATTATTAAAAAAATTGAACATTTCTGACCCTAGTACCTAAAGATATGATGTATGGTAACGATTTCTAACATTTTCAAAAATATGTCTATTACCACTTAACTAAGAGACATGAAATTTTTTTCTTATTTTTACCAGAACAGGTATGGGTTGGCCTCTCACCTGGTGCCTTCTTGACATTGAGGACACCTGTATATTAAGTTGTTAAATGTATACATTTCCTTTAATTGTATTTTTTTTTTATTATGGCAATAAACTTTTTTATTATTTAATTATTAGCTTTAAAAAATTAACATGTGATATCTACTTATGTAACTATTAGAAAATCTCTTCACTTTTACCTCTAGTTCCTAACATTTTAGTCTGCTCTGTATGTTATAAATCACCCTATATATCATTAATAATAAACTGTAAACAGAACTGGTCCCAAATGACTACCTTGAGGTACTCCTGAGGTGACTAAAGTAAAGTTAGATATGTAATTATTAATTTTTACAGCTTGATATCTATCCAAAACATAACATCCAAGACAATAGACCTAAAGTCAGGTTAAACCTATCTAGTTTGTCCAGAAGTACCCCCCATGATGCTTTAGTTCAAAAAAAATATACAACAATCTAGCGCTGAAGAACAATTATAACTAGAAATGCTGTACTTGATTTATACATTGTCTATAGACAACTCTGAGCTTATCTATGAACATGGAATAGAGCAACTTGGAGCATAACTTCTATCTATGAGCTCTAACATTTATATTTAAACATTAAATAGATAATATTAATAGTACAACTTAAAAATATTTTGTCCTTTGTATCTAAAGTATGTTACATCGAGGTTTTACTGTACTTAGTAATTAAAAAATATAATTAATTTGTATTTATTTACTTACTTATCTCTGTCGCTTTCTTCACCTCTAGCCCCAGAATGATTAACAGCTTGCAAAGTATCTAACTGTTGAGTGACTTCTTCAACCCATCTACAATTCACAAGTTCGTGTAGATGTAAAGAAGCTCGACAATGTGGACATTGAGATCTTTGTTCAGTTAACCACCGTCGAATGCATACATAGCAGCACAGTTTGGAGCAATGCGGACAGAGATGAGCGTCTCGAAGCTTTTCCATACAAATAAAACATCGAAACACCTCTGCGAGTGTCTGAAAAAAATAAAATCAAGGTGGTTAATAAGTTCAATTTAATCCAGACGAGTTTAAAAGTAAATAAATAATTGGATTTTCTTACAGACTCTGACGCATTACTCCAACAATCCATGATTCCAAGTCGTTTTTTTTTATAAAATTCTATTCCAAAGATATACTTTAAATTTTGACATATTTCATTTGTTCATTTATTTAGCGTGACAAATGATCGAAGACAGTTGGGGAAAATTGAAAAAATTTTTCGGTTATGGTATTTTTCGAGACGAAGAAATACGAGGACAAAGAAATTCGCGTAAAGTTTCAATGAAAAGAAACAAGGTTACTAACCTCAACGCTCCGTTCGTCATTTTTGGTGGTACCTTTGCCCCTTGTCGACATTATCGATGAAGAAAAAGGGACCGTCTCATCACTGTTAACCGCGACAACAAACCAGATAGCTCGGTACCGCTACACCAAACGGAAATTCAGAGGGAAAAAACGGGATATTTTCACCTACTCTTTAGAACAACCTGTCATCCGAATACAAAAAAAATAATTGCAACAACACGCCGAACAAACCCACACCCCGCGCGCTTTACAAAACTTTACAAACGTCAAGTTTATATTCAATTAATCATCTTCACATTAATTGATTTTATGTTATTTATATTCTTACGACTGTTATATCCATTCCTTTATAGATTTTATGTGACGTTTCATTTAATTTTTCAAGAAAATTTGAATTTTTTTATTAATGCCGATAAGGTAGAGTGTTTGTGATTAATGTTTGTTTCAGTAATTCATAGATGGCGCCATAAGATTATTATATTATTAATAATAAAATCCTTTAATAATAATAATAATAATAAGCATAGATTAAAAATAATTTGTTGAATCGAAATTTACTGCAAAGTTTCAATAAATATTTAAGTATATTCAAATTAACTTATTTTTTATAAAATATAGTGGACGATTCTAACAATTTTACACAAATATGTTGAATATGAATATAAAAACCGTTAATCATAATCAAAAACGAACAACTTGGTGGAACAATATAGTAAAAGAAAAGGTACAGGAGAAGAAACGAGCATGGATTAGATACTACCAAAAATGAAATGAGGCAAAGGAAATTATAAAGCAAGCAAAGGCTTTCCTGGGAGAGATTTGGAAAAAAGATCGAACAAGATTACACAGGTAATCTGAAACAATTCTGGGATACGATCAAGAGATTGAAGGGAAGCCAAAGAAAACAGATAAGGAACATCAAAGATCAAAACGGCGATCTAAACACATCAAATAAGGGAATATTAGGGGCATGGAAAGAACATTACAGCGCAGAAATTGAGGAAGAAGTAGAGAAGGCCCTAATGACAATGAGAAATGGAAAGTTAACTTTATAAGTATCTATATTTATTTTTAAATCGATAATAATTGATTTTTAGTATTCAGAGGCAGTATAAAAGTGCAATTGACCCTGTATGTTAATTGTAGATATGACCACATAGCAAAGTTAATCTAAACAACCTTGTTCTGCATGCCAAGAATTAATAAAGTCAATGTATAAGGTGGAAATATTTTGCAAATGAGTTGTGTATTAGCGAATACAAACTTTATTAATAAGAAAAGATAAATTATTGACAGTGAGGATGTTATTTCGAACCAGTCTACCTGGCTTTTATTTTTTGAAAGCGTGGTTACCATTTTTTGATCTTTATGTGACATTCAGTAATACGACGAATAATAACGCAGTAGTAGATCCTTCCCAAAGTAGAAAACGGAAGTGAATACACAAATTAGCCGATATAGAACTTGCTTCAAATATTGTAAGATAAGGATTACACGTTGAACAATTATGATTCACCTGAAAATAAAGAGGACAATGAATTCCACTATTTTTTAACTGAAGATTTTCACCAGTTGTGACACTTTGGCTTAAGTAGATGAAGTCATAGATAAATTCGTAGATTCGTTTTCTTCAAATTTCGATTATCAATAAAATCTAATAATAATACCTTTTATATTTCTTCCATTTTAGTTGAATTGGGTTTGTTAGTTCTATTATCATTCTTGTAAGCAATGGAACTGTTCTTTTCTGTAAATCTACTTATTAATGAATATCTTTATACCTATTGTTAAAGATATAAACCTTTCTTCCTTCTGTCTGCAGCTCCGTCGCAGAAATAAGTGCTGTTCAATTTAATAGTAAGCTTTCGTAAGATAAATCGATTGTGTTTTAGCTAGGAAGACGGCTGTTCAGAAAGTAGGTACATCAAAAACCGGAAATACAGATATGGCATAAAGATTTATTGTATAAGAATTTACACCATATTAACAAAAATTATCATGCGCACAAGTTCTGCATCAACATTCAGTATGCTGCTATAACGCAGTATCTAATTTTCGATTGGACATGGACAAACTCATGTGTCTTGGGTTTGATAGATATAAAATAATGGCAGGAAAAGAATCCGAGGTGTAGCAAAGAATTAAAACTAAGTACCACAACGCAAACTTCTTCCATTGAGCATCATACAGACTGAATTTAGTTATTTATGACTCAAATGGTTCATCAAGAATTAATTAAATCGTTAACATTACCAAAATATATAAGACCTTTGCAGATCATGGTATGAATCCCAAAAGTGTTTGAGTGTATCTTTTAGCCTTGCAATCAAAATTGATTGTTACGATGGTTCTAATACAAAGTACCGTCAATGCTCTTCACATCTATTTTCTGTACGTTAATAATAGAAATAGATCTTAAAATCATAGAAGTGTTAGAACTAAAATGTTAGAACAGATTTACTTTGTTTACCCATTGAGAAGTAAATTAGGCGTTTCTAGACTTTTGTATAAAAATTAATGACTTATTTTAACACATAATTAGCTACACAGATTCGATACGCGCAACATAAACGTTCTTATCATTGTTTTAAAGATTACCATTGGACCATTTAGTATAAAACCGCATTTTGCTTGCTCATTCGATGATAAGCTGAGCAGTAATAATGACTTGTTTAACCATATTTTTAATAGTGGCGATTCCTTTAGCAATATTAAAAATATATTGGAAATTAAATACCAGATGGAATAGATCCTATAAGTGTTTAATAGGTAAAACTGTATTAGTGACTGGTTCTAACACAGGTAAGATACATGTTGTTTTATTTTCCTGTAAATTATTATTTTGTAATATTTTAGGTATTGGATATTATACGGCTTTAGATTTTGCAAAAAGGGGCGCAAAAGTAATATTAGCTTGCAGAAACAAAATAAAAGGTGAAGAAGCTCAAAGACAAATAATCAAAGAAACGAATAACAATAATGTTATATTAAAAGTAATCGATATGGAATCATTTGAATCCGTTCGAAATTTTGCTAATGATTTTAATCGAGATGAAGAGCGTTTAGATATTTTAGTAAATAATGCTGGTATATCCAGTTCAGATTATATGACGGAAGATGGATATCCGGTTATTATTCAAGTAAACCATTTATCACCGTTTTTATTAACACATCTTTTAATAAATAAATTGCACAAAGCGGGTCATAGTCGAATTGTAAATGTGGCATCTAATATGGTACAAACGGGAAAGTTCGAACCGAAAAATCTTGGTCTTCCTGTGAAAATACCACATAAAGCATATCGATTAGGTCAGTATTATTCTGATTCTAAGTTATGCAACGCTGTTTGTACAATAGAAATGAATAAACGGCTCAAAAATACCAATATTATTGTTAACGCACTTCATCCAGGTGTTATTATAACCAATATATTCGATAATCAACCTAAATTTGTTAGCTCAATTGTATATTCACTTAAATGGCTTTTCAAGGTATGTATAATATAACAAAATAAAACGAGTATCATCTATTATTATCAGGGCACGGAACTTTTGTAACAAAACGATACCATTTCCCCCCTCCACTCGTTCTCAGAAAATCTTGATTAAAAGAACAGTATACTATACTGTTCAGTGGGAAATGAAAATTTCAAGTTAGAAAAGAATTGTGTTAACAAAAATTGTTCCTGAAACAATTCTAAACAAACTTTGTCATTAATAATTAAGGAGATAACCTCAAAATAATAATTTTTCCGTTTTTATACATAATTATACTTAGATGCTTAATTAATGGAGATGTAAAATTTTTGTATTAAGATAATTGATTCAAAATCGAAATTGAAACAAATTTTATTTAAAACATTTTTTGATAAAAACAATAATTATTGAGATAATTAATTTTGATAGCATACTATTCAGAGGGAAATTAAAATTTCAAGTTAGCAAAAAATTGTCCTGAAGTAATTTTAAACAAATATTGTTAATAAAAATTTTTGATTTGATCAATAATTACGAAAATAGAGTAAAAAAAAATTTGTATATATATATTTTTATATATTTTTTATTGAGAAAATCGTTTTAGAATTTAATTTAGAACAACTTTTGTATAAAATTTTCTGCTCAGAACGAATGGAGGGGGGAAATCGTATCGTTTTGTTACAAAAGTTTCGTGCCCTAATTATTATATACTTATTTTTAGACTATCGAAGAAGGTGCTCAAACAACGTTATATGTTGCGCTTTCAGAAGATGCTGGAAAATCAGGTGGACGATTTTTTAATAATTGCAGGGATGTCGGACATTATAAAAACGCTACCGATCCGGATTTTGCGCGTCAAGTTTACGAAAAATGTGAAAAATTAGTTGGTCTAAAACCAGAAGAACAAATTAAATGATAACATTTTAAATAATAACGAATTTGACGCTCGTTTTATTTATTGAAGTATTTATTAAAAATATACTTTTCAAATAGATTTATATAAAAACTTTTTTTCTGAGGTAATATTTTTTTTATTATTACCTTAAAAACTTTATGGTAAATTATTTTAATCGATGTAAAAGTAATATGATGCTATATAGTTATAGCGATTGATGAAAAGCCTTTCAGATGAACAACTTTATTATTATCTAAATTCATAAAACGTGTTATTAAAATAATAATTCAAGATTATACCGGGTCTGTATAAATTGGCGGCAAAGCTATATTCATTACGAAATTTGTGGTATAAAATTAATTGACCTGAACATAATAATCCTGAATATTATCGATCTCCTTCTGGAGACCTCGATTTCTTTATCAACCAGGTTGAAAATACCTTGTCATTGTTCAATCCCACCGATAAGGTGCGATTTTAATGTTAAATTCGGCGTCGGAAATGGGGACGTGGACTTGCTGGTTGACTGCTTTGCTACGTTTGGTTTTGAATACATGATTAACAACCCCACTCGAAAATTGTATCGATAACGTTTTTATTAATTTTAACTCGTGTCACGCTGAGGCCAAGCTGTCGTGTCAGCTCTCGGATCATCGTGGAATCGAGTTGCGATGCATTCTGGAAGAGGTGGTCTCAAATGATGGGCTCCTGACGACGAGACCTTTAACTCAGAAAGGAAGAATTTTGTTTTATAATCATGTATCTGAGCTGAATTGGGATTTTATTACTAATAGCTGCTTATCAGCAGAAAACAAATTCAATGTTTTTCTTCATAAATTGCTACATTTCTACAATGAGCCTTTTCCGCAAAGAAAAGTAAAAGTTAAACATATAAATTCCAATTCACGCTGGCTAAATCCCGAACTCAAACAAATGCGTGATCATTTGAATTTACTACATACACTTTGTCTCGGTTCCAATTCGATTGAACTAAGGAATATGCGGTCTGCATACAATAAGTACTATAACCAGAAGATCATTGGATCAAAAATGTTTTTCTTGAGAAACTATCTATAATCAAGGATCTGGGAGTTACTTTGGCCGTAAATTGTCTTTTGTACCGCACATTGAAAATATTGCATCTTCTGCAGCGAGGATGCTTGGTTTCGTTTTGCGCACCTCGCGTGCTTTTTCTGACATCGGTGTGTATAAGTCCCTGTTTTTGACCTTTGTATTGTCCAAATTGGAATATGGATCTGTAATTTGGTCGCCACAATATGTGACTTATATTGGAGAGAATTCAGAGGAGATTTCTCAAACATTTGTCTCTACGCCTGGACGGATCATACCCAGATCGTGGAACGGATTACGCATCCCTGCTGCGGCGTCACAACTTATCTGTACTAGACGTGTATCAAGTTTTTGCAGAAGTTAGTGCAAGGTGAATTGGATTGTTGTCGCTCATACAATTTTTGGCGTTGATGAGAGTAACGTTCGGCTGTCGTGCAAACACAAAAACAATAAAAATAGGAAATTCATTGAATATTATTGGATAATAAATTTTTAATGCTAGCAAAGGTTGGACTGTTCATGCTCCGAATGGGATTATCATTGAGGCTCAAAACTACAGTTTGCCAAAAGCTCCTACCTAATGATTTTTATGAAAATATACAATTTGTCTCAAACTGCAAATACCGACAAAATGGCAATATATCTAGATATGCCTCCCAATTACACACTACAAAGAAGAGGTGTGAGGGAAATTTCTTTAGAAACAAGTGGTTGCGAAAAATTGTGCTTAACAGTGATGCTAACAGCAACAGGTGATGAGAAAGAATTGTCGCCATTACTAATGTTAAGAAGAAAAACCATTCCGAAAGACTTTCCGAAAGATATAGTACACCAGGAGGACTTCTTGTCGTAATACCTGGTGGAATAACATCCATACTACAACCTGTGGATCTATCTATTAACAAATCTTTTAAAGATAACATGAGTAAACAATATTTAAAATGGATTACAGATCAACGAGAAAAATTAAACGAGCATCTGCTTCTGAACTTGCTCAGTGAGTGTGTGGAAAGCGAAGTGACATGGAAAACGGTGCCGGAGAATACTATTACAACATTATTTAAGAAGTGTTGTATAACCAATGCTTGGACGCTAATTTCAAAAAGAATTCAATAATTCCGTGTCTAACTGTTGGCTCATAACACAACTTGCCGTAGGAATACTTTCATAAGATTCTTTATATGCCATATTTGCATTCTTTTCTGCAGCCAATCATTATTTTCATGACTTTCGTCAAAGACTTGTTTCATTACGTGCAAAACTGTTATTGTGTTCAATATATTTAACACATCTAAATAAAATAATATATAAATAATAAATAAAAGGGTATTATCGGATGGACTTAGAACATTACAAAGATCGTTATCAAATGACAAGATTCTAATAATTGCCCGTAACGTTTTGTCTAAAACAATTACAAGAAATAAAATGTTATACGACACAAGTCTGGTAGGTCATGTAACAGTACTCGTTTAGATATTCCAGACTCGTCGCCTAGCGGATCTATAACGTAAATAACTATAATAATAAGAACATTTTAACGTTACAATGTGAACTAGCAAAGTTTGTAGAACTTTTGTTCTAATAAATGGCTTTGCAGAAGCTATACTTCCAGATCACCGAACTGAATTTATATCGTTAATTTTTAAATAATTTTGACAATATTCACAAATATTGTATTTATGCTCAAAATACTATTTGTATTGAGACAAAATTTTCTGCATATACGCTCGTTTTTGGCAAATTATCTGCGAATATAAATAATATTGACCCAAATTTCCAACTTGATCAACAAATGAGTCAAAATGTTTGTCTATTTGCCATTTAGAAGTCGATTTCGCGTATTTAGACTTTTGTTCTAATGTGTATATAAATTAATGAATTATTCTAAGCACAAGTTTCGATGCGTGCAGCATAAATATCCTTAATCTTATCGTAGTTTTAAAACGATTACTTTTGGACTATTTAATCTATAACCGTTTTTTTGCTTGCTCATTCAACGATAAGCTAAGCAGTAACAATGACCTATTTAACCATATTTTTAACAGTAGCGGTTCCTTTAGCAATATTAAAAATATATTGGAAATTAAATACCAGATGGAATAGATCGTATAAGTGTTTAATAGGTAAAACTGTATTAGTGACTGGTTCTAACACAGGTAAGATACATTTTGTTTTATTTTCCTGTAAATTATTATGTTTTAATATTTCAGGTATTGGATATTATACAGCTTTAGATTTTGCAAAAAGGGGCGCAAAAGTAATATTAGCATGCAGAAACAAAATAAAAGGTGAAGAAGCTCGAAAACAAATAATCAAAGAAACGAATAACGATAATGTTATATTAAAAGTGATTGATATGGAATCATTTGAATCCGTTCGAAATTTTGCTAATGATTTTAATCGAAATGAAGAGCGTTTAGATATTTTAATAAACAATGCTGGTATATCCGGTGTAGATTATTTGACGAAAGATGGATATCCGGTTATTATTCAAGTAAACCATTTATCACCGTTTTTATTAACTCATCTTTTAATGAATAAATTGCACAAGGCGGGTCATAGTCGAATTGTCAATGTTGCGTCTAATATGGTACAAACGGGAAAGTTCGAACCGAAAAATCTCGGTCTTCCTGTGGAAATGTCACATAAAACATATCGATCAACTCAATATTATTCTGATTCTAAATTATGCAACGCTGTTTGTACAATAGAAATGAATAAACGACTCAAAAATACCAATATTATTGTTAACGCACTTCACCCAGGTGTTATAATCACCAATATATTCGACAACCAATCTAAATTTATTACTTCAATTGTATACTCATTTAAATGGCTTTTTAAGGTATGTACAATAAAATAAAATGAAAATTATTCATTATTATTTACTTATTTTTAGACGATGGAAGAAGGTGCTCAAACAACATTATATGTTGCGCTTTCAGAAGATGCTGGAGAATCAGGTGGACGATTTTTTAATAATTGCAGAGATGTCGGACATTATAAAAATGCTACCGATCCGGATTTTGCGCGTCGAGTTTACGAAAAATGTGAAAAATTAGTTGGTCTAAAACCAGAAGAACAAATTAAATTATAAAATTTTAAATAATACAAACACAGTAACCATGAAAATTGTAGAAATTTTACGCTTGTTTTATTTATTGAAATATTTATTAAACAATAGTTTTTCTAATAGATTTATATAAAAACTTTTTTTATGGAGGATAATATATTTTTTTTTATTATTACCGTAAAAACATATAATATGGTAAATTTAATCGATTTAAAAAAATATATAATGCTATATAATTATAGCGGTTAATGAAAGGCTTTTAACTTTAACATAAGTCTTTATTTATCTTCTAAATTCATAAAACGTGTCAATAATAGATTCGTTCCAACCGCACAAATTTGACTCGTCGTGTACGCTTACACGACTAGTACAGGACTTTTTTCTGCGCATGTTCGTCCGTTGACACGTTCGTGTACCCGTACATTTCGTCAACGCTGTTGGAACGGTTTTCAATTTCTATGTACATTTTATATCCAACCCTGCCGATAGTTAGCGCTGCAACCACAATTTACCATTTCAAACGAAATCCATTTAATCATTTTTTTAACAATAATGAACTAAAGTAGCATTAATTACAAATGTAAAAAAAAGCGTAATAACCCTTACTAGAAAAATGAAATAAAAATATGCATGTTTTTTCACTTTTTTGATTAAGTTGTCTATGAAACTTATCATAAAACATACATATAAAATAAAAGTTCTTAAAAATTTGTTAAACAAAACACCAGAAACATGTAAAAGAGTAGAGAATAATCCAAATCCAAATGTACAGGGTCTGTCACGATGAGCTGAGTCTTATATGTATNGAAAATATTGAAGAAAACACAAAAGACAAATAGAAAGAAATAGAAAATAAAACAGAAACAGAAGATTTAGCTTAAATTTTGATTACAATATCTGTTTGCTCATAAAACATTCTTATACATTGAGAAACTTTGTTC